ACAACTCCGACTCCTGGTGGTCGAATGACAGGCCTCGGATATGCCGATACCTTGGCAGGCAAAGCTCGACTGCAACACTTCGCGGCCATCGCTCTGCGCTCTGGAAGAGCTGGGAGTCGAGGACTGCCGCCAAAGCTGCCGGAATTGGAGGCCGCGCAGTGACCGTCAGGGCCGCGCGTCGCGCGCTGACCGTGAGGGGAGCGCGCCCAGCAGGCACAACCACCCCGGCAAATGGTCGCAGGGGTGCCGGCCTCGCGTATTGTCGAGAGGACCTCCCTCACGACATCTTCAGCAACTCGGCTGAAAACGGTGCCTGGCTGCCGAAGCCGCCTGCAACCTGGCCATCTCGCAACATGCTCTCGGATTGAGCGTGTGTTCTGCTCATGCAGTATCACCGCAGCAGTGTGTCGGCAAAGTGCCTATTCTGGCTGCGTTCCTGTAAACTGTAGACCACGCAAAGGCAATGGCTGCCCTGGCCTTTGAGCCATCGCCAAGGTCGCGGGGGAAGGCTTCGGAGTTGCAGCCCTTGGTAAAGTCCAGGTTGGACGTAAGCTTCAAATTGAACGTGCAACAAGCAGTCTTTGCTTCAAAATTCTGACCTGTCTTCTGGGAAAGGTGCGGTCGAGCCGGCGTAACGAGAGTGGGCCGAAGCCTTTCCGGTGAGGTGGTCACTTGAAGCATCCTCTCGAAAGTTGGATGCTGCTGCAGCTCCAGCCTCTTGCTAGGGTCGTCAACCGTGCTAGTACCAGAAACAGCACTCAGCGGGCGCTTGACCTTGCGAGAGCACTTGGGAAGGGCTCAGTCAGTTTTCGGAGAAAGTTACAGTAGGCGTTCTCATCGTCTTGTGCCTTGCGAACCGGTGCCTGAATCTGAGCCATTTGCGCCATTGGCGGAGCCGTTCGCCAACACAGTTGCCTTCGATCAAACTTCTGCGTGGTTCTTGGGTGCAGCAAGTGACGACATGTGAGGACTAGTCTGGACTGGGAGGACGGCAGTGTCCCACGATTTCGAGGACTCGCACTCGGCAATGTACCTCTCACGGCCAGTAGCATAATGGGCGAACTTCTGCTTCTGGCTGTCATAGTCATGAGCCATGTTGTATCTTCGAAAGCAGCGCACGACTCCAGTTCGTCATCAGTCGCCGCGTCTCCCTCACAACATTGCGATGTCAAGCGCAGAAGCTGCAGTGCGAGAGAAACGGATGCACTGTCGCTTCTGTGCTTCGACACATTGGAAACTGCCAAATGCTGAAATGCATTTGCGCCTTGGGCTTGAAGTGAGCGATGACGTACCGTCGCCTGTTCGAGTCTTGCAAGCCCAGTCTGAAAGCACATGCTCTGGTACACTCTCATGCAAAATCACATAGTCCGGGGTCAGCTTCCCCGCGGCTCAAACCAGAAAGAGTGCACGGAGCCGAATCGCTCTAAGACAGATCGGATCAACTGCTAAGATTCAAGTCCCGACACAGGCGCACCTAGAGGGTAGCAGCTTGGTCAAAGCGGTCTTTGTCCGAGTGACATCAAGCTTCCATTTTGCGACCTGGGCAGCAGAACAGATCAGAGGCAGCGTTGCACCCAGTCACCGACGACCTCAGGAAATCCAGGGGCTGCACGAAGAGTGCTATCAGCCGCAAGTCTGCTACTGCAGAGCCTGTCAGGGTCAAGGACCACCAAATTCGGGCACCTTGGAGACAGCACACCCAGGCCCACTATGGCCCAGTCCCACGCCTCCTGTGGGAGGCACAACTGCTGTCGTGACCGTTGTGGCCTGGCGCGCGGTCAAGCGGCACATCTCTTCACTGCTTCAAAGACTGTCTCTCCCGATGCTTCGTTGCTAAGGGGCTGGCCGCTAACGGCGATGGCGTGGATATAAGGCTGGTCCTGGGCCGGACCTGAGACGACATGAAAAGAAAGCTCCGAATCTCCTGAGGATGCGTGAAGTGAAGCACTGATATACTCCGCTCTGTCTGGCAGGTCTGTCGGATCAAGTCATATCAAGTCTGGGTTCGCTTCTCGGGCTTCAAGCTATGGCCCCAACATGACAACATGCTTCTTCAGATCGCTTTTTTCTCATGACGGGAAGCAGATTTTCTTAGGAAGATGAGTCTATGAATCGAAACGCAAGCTGTGGCGCGACCTAGCATGCCTTAGCAAACTATATATACAGCCACAGGAATGCATATCTTGGTGGTTTTGGCATGAGCATGCAGAGTAGAAATTGCGACAGGTCTGGGTTTGCTCGATCATACACCAACAGCGAGCTCAGGCTACTGTCTACTAAGCTTCGCTGCATGAAGCCGCGCACCTTTCCTCGACGAAACAGGCGAAGCCAAGCAACACATAGTCAGTGGGACAGAACAGGAGCACCGGCCCCCAAACAACAAACATGCTTCTGCTTCTCTCGCTCAGGATGGCTTGGCTTGGTCAAGCTTCAGCGGACGTGTAGGGTTGGGGATGGAGGGGAGGCGGCGGCGACCTGCCAGTGACAGGTTGACGATGACGAAACCCGAAACGCAGCCTCTTCTTCGATGCTAAGCTCTTTATGTTCAGTAAAGCAAGGTGCTGCGCGTGGCCATTTCCGGGTGGCCATTTCCCCCGATGCACGCTTGCTAGTGAGCTTCCGAGGATGGCGAAGGAACAAATACCGTCTTGGATTTTACCTCAACCACTAGAACAACGGCGGTGTAATCGTTCTGATTCTGATGGTTTTGCTCGGTTTGGCCCGGCTTGTCCTCGGCGCGGGCTCAGGGGCGTTTAACGTGGTGATGACGCTTGCTGTTCGTCATGTCTTCGCCAGTGCTACGAATGCTACTCGGGTTCAGAGTTCTCGCTAAGTGCACGAGATGGCAGTACGCGACTTCTGCAGTTCCAATCCATCGTCCACATGGCGGACTGCGGACCGACTGACTGTCAGAAGCAAAGCTCACAATAGAACCCAAAGATGAAAACACAAACAGCAACGACCAAAAACAAACCCCCCAACCATCACACTGCTGTACAACCATGGGCTCGGGCAAATCCGCGCGGGAGATCTGGTGGAAGCTTGACCTGCCAAAAAGCTTGGATGACGGTCATTCTGCCTCTGTCAAACGCAGTGAGGGCCAGGCTGTCTATTACTACATGTATTCTTATTGTTTAATGATCATACAGACATTCTTGAATAAGTATGTTGAGACTTTGCGCGAGGGGGGCGTGCCTCCGACAGATCTGGAGGATCCGGAGCTCCGGCCTTTCGGGCAAGACTTGGCAGGAGTTTGCGATGTAGCGTTCAGTTTCATGTCTCTTGCAACTAAGCATACCGTTCTTTCAAGATGAGCAACAGGTTTTGTCAACAACTCATGTGAAACACGTCTCAAAAGCGACGCTTCCCGCATCAAGCGCGATCAACCGCGAACACGAAATCCGCATTGTCTCGTGCAGGCCGGGTGTTCAACTTTGCGCGATGCGGAAGATGCTTTCAGCTCCCCCTGAGTGTCACCCGTATCATGCCAAAAGCTCGATTAAGCATCGTCTTTCATGTGTGTGGGCAACACAGCACATGCGAAAAGAGGCTGCTGATGATGAACTGAATCACCTTCTGAGACAGGAAGTCAGCAGCCAGCCCAGCCGATTCGGCATCAGCTTGCATGAACGCGGAAGCGCTTCCGGGGTGGCCACGAGATCTCCGGCAAAGGCTTTGCCCCCGAGCGATGCTGGATAGGCATGGAGAAGCCAAAGCCAAAGCAGTGAGGTGGCTGGGAGTGTGGAGCGGGACTCTCCAGAAGGTCACCGTCAAGTTGATGAGCCACACCTCTGGACAATCCGAGTGGGCCTTTTCTCACGCAGCTGTGCTTCATGCGAACCGGACAGGGTCCCGCATGCAAGGATCTGCAGTTGCCATCACGGCCAGAAAAACAGGTGTCTATGACTGTGAGGAGCTTGATGTGATGGCACTCCGCCACGGGCGCGGTGCACTTCCGACCAAGCGACGTTTGGATTCCGTCTGCTGAAAGGCGGGGGTTGTCAAGGAACGTGGAGAGATAGACGTGCCTCAGCAACCGAACGTTGCCTTCTGCACAGCTTGAGTCCCCTGAGATGGCTCCGGCTCCTCCTCTTGTTCGGCGAGGTTGTCGTTCGACATATGAAAGTCTTTTGACCCTTGATGTCGAATTCCACCGCAGTCCTGAACTTCAAGAGCCGGGCCAAGCGGGGGTCCCTGCTAAGCGCCGCTTCGTTGAGAAATCAGCCGCTCCCGGCAGCAGTAGACCCCACTCCTGGCCCTCACCCGGAATGCGTCTGCTGCGAACTGCGGGCATGTCGCACTGAATGTACCGTTAAATGACAACGCTGCCAATCCTGACTTTCATTGTATGCAGCTTGCTACTATCCACACACCTTAGGACGTTCGGTTCTTGCAAGCCCCACCACAGCAATGCGTGACTCGTCACATGTGGCCTCGCGCCGGTGAACTTCTATGAGTTGGAGGTCTGTCTTCATCAGGTCGTCTCGCCACATCTGCCAGGGCAGTAGCTGTGATGCTTACCTCGTGCATGCTCACGAAGAAACATGCTGCGCGGGCTAAGCCTAAAGAACACAAGTCACTGTTTGGTGCTGGTCGCCGTTCCTACCAGCATCGCCACATGGTCTGTTTTCCGGCTGGTCCATGTCTTGATGCAGCTTCAAAACGGGTTCTCTCATCGCCTAAGTGTTGCCTCCCTCTCCTCTAAAGCCCTCGACAGCAAATCCGTGTGGTAGCGAGTTTGTGCAGTCTAGGTCTGGCAGGCATGCCGATTTCGTTCGTGTGTGTGTGTGTGTGCGCGTGTGTGTGTGTGTGTGTGCGCGCGTGTGTGTGTGTGTGCGCGCGGGTGTGTGTGTGTGTGTGTGTCGGTGTGTGTGTGTGTGTGTTTGTGTGTGTGTGTGTGTGTTTGTGTGTGTGTGGGGGGTTTTGAAGCCTTTCGAGGGTGCTGCAGCTGTGTCGCAAGAAGGGCTCTGCGCCAACTACCTAAATCTCTGGGGACCAGGTGCTGAAGCTGCTGCTGGTAGCTTGAGTAGCCATGGTCAGTGCAAACAGTTGCATTAAATGATGCAAGATCTAGCCAACCAATGTTTCGGTGTGCTTCGGACAGCAAACATGCGCAGGTCCACCCCGTTCTTGAAGTAGTCCTCCACCTGAAGCAATCGGCTTCTGCACAGAAGGAATCTTGTTCGAATTTGTGGATAAATACGTTGGGTCATCTTCCCGATCGTATTCTTCAAACACCGTGCTCCAAGCTACCGCACAACTTAATCAGCATATCGCGCACACCGAATTCCTAGCGTCGCAGACATGACTGAAATCGTCCCTGAGTAGCAACTTAAGCACCCGCTAAACATTGTTTCTGCTTTCCTTAATAGTTGCAGAGATGTACAGTCACTTCCCCTCCGGCCTCTGCAACGGCGTAAAGGCGTCTAAGCTCTTTGAAAAGCTCGGGACCCGTTTTCGCGAGTCGTTCATCCTCCTGAGAATGGTTTTGCATCGGACGTTTTTTCAGAGTCTTGGGCTGGTGGCTGAAGGCGTGTTAGGGCTCCGGAACGTCGCATAAGTGGCATGACTTGGGAAATCGGAGCAATGCCATGCTCTTGAAGTGGACTCGAAAGCTCGCAAGTCGTGGAGAATCATTCAACCAGCCAAGCTTTTCAAGTGTTGCTGGAAGGCAGCCCGCCGTCTCGTCTGTTCCGAAACCCCACTCAGGCATTCACACTACAGCAACGAAATTTTAAAACCTAAACCATCCTCCCGCACCTCTTCTTCCCCCATGGCGTCGCTCTTTAGGGGTCTTCGCCAACCCCTAGGCGAGCCGTGCACAGCTCTTGGAGCCAAACTGCAGCGAGGAACGTGTCAACACATTCAGATTTGTCATCGTGGGTTGTGGACATGGTCGGGGAGACCACCGGCCGTTCACAAGTAAAATGGGGCAGGTGTGGCTACGATTACTGGACATGGACACATGTTGGCTCAGGTTTCAAGTTGAGAGGATGGAGCTTGCAATGCCGTGCGATTCGCAGCTTCCTAGCCGGCAGTAGAACCAGTCTTCCACAGGCTGTGTGGCATATGATACCGCCCTTCGGCAGGTCCCTTCAAGCGCCCACTGCTGTACAAAAGGCCCTGGAAGGAACCTGGAGCTGCCTCTGGCAAGCTTCATCCTGGTTTCAGGGCAGTCCCTTCCCTCCCGTCTTTGCAAATCGCACTGAACCGCCGAACTTTGCCATTCAGGGCAGATTGGGGGAAGGAAGAGCCCACATGTTTCACTCATGCGCTCTACAGGCTTGCTGCAAATTCGCGGACCTTCCGGGAACCTTCGGCTTCCGGAGATCCGTTGCCCCTGGTACGGATACATGGCTCGGCCAGTAGCTGTTAGGCTTCCGTCGTGCAAATCGAGATACTATGCTTCACAGGGTACCACGGAACTGGCATGTGCAATTCACTTCAGCATCCAATTGAAGATCTTTGTCATTCCAGCCTCTGGCAGTGAAAAGCATCCTTCCTGCTGAAAACTATCTTTCAAAGCCCACATCAACACTGCACATCATTCACTGTGAACTGAGAGTTGTGCCGCGCGGTGCAGACTGGTCAGCGCGGACCTGGAGGCTGGAAGGTGCTGCCTTCACCAAAGGTGGGTGCTAGCTCTTTGTTGAAGGAGACAAAAACCTGGAGGCCTGTACGAGAGCACATGGAAGGAGACAGCTTTACATTATCTTCTCCGATGACTTTGTCTCGTCTGTGCCAGTGACTTGTTCGTATCCGTGGAGCTGGAGCATGACAAGTCTAGTACTGTCTTCTATATTCTGGCTTTCTTTCGATGTTCCCCGCTTCCATGACCACTTCTTGTTTCCCTCTCCCTTGCCACTTGCGCACAAGCCTGTGGACTTCCCGGCCTGCAGGCCCATTCGCCAGCATGAGTGGAGCCGGCGACGGTGCATCTGCAGCCTGCAGCAAAATTACCAATGTTGTGGTCTCTTCTTTCTTCTCCGTCCCCCCACCGCGCGGATGCTCGATCAAAGTACTGGTAAAGCTGTTGTCGACTCAGTGTGGCGGTTCATGAGACTGCACAGTGCTGCAAAGCGGCGGCAGGAGGTGTGGCTGCCACATCCGGGGCGCAGCCTCCGTTCGGAAGCATGCAGGACTCTGAAGCTAACGGTGTGCCATTATCAACCATCAAGGAGCAAGATTGCATTCTGCCTGCATCTTCGGCAGTCTCGGATGTCACCTGGCGCATGGAATCTTTTGACATCTTATGCTTTCGTGTCAAGAACGTCATGTGACAGGTTCTGTGCAATGCTGCGCAATATGGCGGCTCCTGTTCCAAGAATGACTGTTCTTGAACAGTCGTCTGCTGCGGCTGCTGCTGCTGCCGCTTTACTTTGCTCGTCTTCTCAGACTACAGTAGCTAATTTCTGAGACATGCTCTTTTTAGTTCCCTCTGCTCTGTTGCCCACCTCATGTCCGAGCTGCACGCGGGGTGCAAGTACAACATGAGCCGCCGCAGCCAGCAAGACTCGCACAACGAACCATTTCGTGATTTTTCGTGCTGTTACAGGCACGCTTTCTCTGGGTTCCTTTTTTCAATTCCAACCTTCGACGCTTCCTACTCGCACGATCGCCGATTCTCGCAGATCCACGACTGTCTGCCTTAAAACGACTGCCTTCGGATCGGCTTCGCCAACGTCTTGGGTTTTCGGCGTCTTGGCGGCGTCTGGTGGCACTGTGGCCACTGTGGTCACCTAGCAGCGACAGCAAACTTCACAGCCACTTCCCCACGTCCTGTCTCGTCACCCGGGCGATCACCTTGACATCTGTGTCCTTCGGTTCTGCCTCCGGAGTGTCAGCCTGCATAGCGCACAAATCCACCCGCTCTCATGGCTTTTTCGCTCGCCCTACTTTACAGAGCCTTGGCCACCGGAGAAGCACTTGTGAGATCTTTCGGGATTGAGCTAGCCTGTCGCATCACACAGGCTCCTAATCCAGGAACTGTCGTTTCAGCGCTTTTGTTCAAAGAGCCTCGTCAGCTTTGCTTTCAACCTGCAAGGAGCCAGAAAAGGCATACTTTCCTAGAACTTGGTCGCCTGACCCTTTCGCAGCGTCGCCTCTGCCTTCTCTGGAGCCGGCTTCTCAGGCTCCGATGCGCCCTCCGCAGCTCCGGTTGCAGGTCCGGCACCTGCGACCAAGCTTATTCAACGCTGATGTATACTCATGAACTCAGAAGCACAAGGAAGGATCTAGGAATCTGCAGAATCCCAGGATCTTGGGCTTCGGGGGGGGGGGGGACGGAAGAAAGCGGTGCCTTCTTCCTGGGTGCTTTTTGGCTCCCCGGCCGGGCCAGGGGCCGGGGCCGGGGCCGGGCAGTTTTCCAAGATCGGATGGCTTTGGACCTTGCAGAAGAGACCCCATGGCATGGGAGCTCCTCTGAGCACCTAAGACCGAAGATTACCTGGGCCAAGGACGTAGTAGTCCAAGGTAGCAGCATCTAACCCTTCGACCTCGAGGGCAAGCAGATCATGTCCAAACCAGTTGCAAGTGCTAAGAGACATGCTCCAGAAGACTCAAGAAGAGTGGCGAGACCATTGGCATCACTGAGCGTTGCGAAGACCAAGCCCCGGAAGAAGTCGGGCAAAAACTCCGCCTGCAATCAACTTGACACTTAAGTTCTTCGGACTGACACTTGCTCTGCGAACCTGGTGGGGTGGTTTCTCTGGAGACCAGCCCCAAAGCCAGTCGTGCGAGGAGCCCTGTGCCAGTTTCAGCAAAGGCTTCAGCACATTACGAACCGGTTGGACCTCCAGCTGTCTCAAGACCATTCCGTTGCCCTGCTCATCAATCCGATGACCTCGGTTTCTGGCCCCATGCCGACTCCCCACCTCTCCTCCCCGGCAAATAGTGTTGGAGCCCGGCGGACGACGGCGACCACCTCTGCCGAGGCCATGAAGGGCGCCTGCTCGGATTCTGACTTCACAGCTCCAAGCAGCCAGCCCGAGCCCGAGCCCTCATCGCCTGAACATCCTCCTTCTTGAAAGGTGGTGTGCGCCAACCTGCAATCACAGGCCAAGTTTCGGTTCAAGGTCCTCATAGCGTCAGACCCTGCTGCCCGGCAGGGCCTTTGCGAATGCCAATGTGCTCGAAGAAAAAATTGTAGCCGTTGAAGATTTCATGCGAACCTGACGCCCCGATCTGTGTCCGGCATTTCAATCTCATGCGAGTGCACTGTCCGTGCCGTAACCGGAACGGCCGATTGGCCCTTTTCTTGCAAACAGCACGTGGTGTTTTTTAGGTTTCGGGGCTGCCGTGCCCGCTGACCGCCAACAAGAATGTATCTCCCCCAAGTTAAACAGGCGGGACAACGGCAGTTGGGTGCCCGGCTATCGCGAATCCAGTCTGTGTCAATGCTCCACCACGCCAAAGCTCCGGCCTGCCGTGGTTTTGTTGTTGGCACCACAGAAATCCAAATTGAGCTTGTACGTTAACCAGCCTGTTCCTCTCCTAGCGCTTTCGAAGGCGGAACCACTTTTATACCGTTTGCCTTATGCAGTTTCTGGCAGAGTCTCGCATCCATGGTCGGGCGTCGCCTCATCGGTAGGGAGCTCCTCGGCAGGCGCAGTCTCGGCCTGGCATATCACATCTTAGAGAAGCAACGTTCAAGGCTTCGGCGGCTTTTCTGAGAGCCCTGCCGCTCCATCTTCGGTCGAGGCCTGAGACGCCTCAAGGAACCCAGCATCTGAAAACAAATCGACAAGTCCTTTGCTCTCCGAGCTCGCAGCTGCCTGCGTCGTAGCTGTTGCCTCGCTCTCAGGACGATTGGGAGTGCCGCTTGCGATGCCGCCCTAAGCTTAGTAGTTTTTTAGGAATCGTGTTGGTTGGATCACAATCTATCCAGTCATGACAAGTCCTGATCACATGGAGCACATGTCCTCCAGTCACTTTATCAGCATTGTCGGATACCCGTGCCTACACTCACGAATTTGGGCAAGGCGCGGTGAGCACCCTAGGCATACCCGGACTAGTGTCTGCAGCCACGCGACACTGCTGTTGGCGGGCTCCGAACTCTTCGCCTCAAACCGGTCGGGGATAACCACTGACTGAAGCACACCTCTAGCTCAAAGTCATGGCTGAGGCTCTCGCTGCCGAACCACCAGCACTTGCCTCCAGACTTGAGAGTTCTCGCAAGACATCGAAGTCATGGATGCGAAACTGAGCACTCCTCGCCTCGGAGCTGGCAGAGTACTTGGCCTATGCGAAGTTACGGAATTGTGGAACTGTGCCCCAGCACCGACCACTACACGAAACAGAATGCATGTGTACTGCACGAGGCCTCGGATGAGCTGACTCCGCAGCCCATCGCGGGCGGTCCAAGCAAAAAGGCCGATGCCGATGCAGTCTCCAAGCTTGCCGAGCGAGGCGGCTACTTCGAAGTGCGTGCGAGTTAATTGACTTTGTCATACTTTGGGGCTGCTTGAGCAAACCTCCTTTGTTGCTTGTGGTGGTGGTTATCAGGTCTGACACGGGGTTAGGGCCGTTCGGGATTCGGGGGGATTTGGGACGTGGCTGTTGATTCAGTCAAAGACGAAGCGGGCTTGATCCGAGGAAAAAGGAGGCACGCCATCAGGATGACTCTACAGTCTACATGCTGGAATGCAAGAACAAAGTCCCAGTTGCTTTAATTGCAGGAACTGCGAGTTTGCTTCAGCCTTTTTGGTATCGCTTTCATATCTGCTCTCGAAGTTAAAGCATAGATCGAAGGCATGTCAGAACTCAAGCTGTGCAGACGCCTGCTGCAGTGTTGCACGGCATAAACCTAATGCACTCTCATCTCTACAAAGTCTCTCGATCTCTGTGGCAAGCACAGCGAACACTACTACGATGTTCATAGTCCTTGCCTCAAGACTGCTGCAAGTAAACCTTACAGGATAACCACGTGCTTGACGGCTTGCCGAAGGCTACGACGATCCCTGCTCGTTCAGGAATTCCTGAAGGACTCTCACATCATGGCCTTGGCTCCGCAGGACCGGCGCAGAAAGACCCGGACTCCCTGGCTAGATCCATGCGTCAGCTAATTATGCAAACAGGACCTGCCAAGCAGTCGCCCAAGCGCGTCGATGTGCTACTTGCTATTGCATCTTGGCCCTGAACGAGTCGGATCACGAATGCCACCTTGCCGGTTATCCTGGGAGTGCAGGCTTTTGCCACACCTCTGCAAGGACTCCCGCTATGGACGGAGTCCCTGAGTGCCGGGCACAGAACTGCCACCTTCATACAAGCAGGGCCAAAAGATCGGAAAATGTGAGGAAGCTCTTTGCCGCAACCACCATCGGCCAGAAGTCTGAGTACTTGACCACTGACGCTTCGCCTCCTCGTTGGATCGCTGCATTGCCTGGCAAACAGGGAGTGACTTGGACTCCACAAAACTCCACGAATCGCCCGATCTTCTCATCAATACAATAGAAACAACGCCTAATCACATCAACCGGTCCACAATTTTGACCGCGAGGAAGCAATAGCCTTGATCTTCTGAACCAGCGAGTCCTTGCGAGGATCGTAGGACCTTCGGTGGCCAGCTGATGAGTCCATAGTGTCGACAGCGCGCTTTTTTCTACTTCTCTTCTTTTCTTGCCGTCTTGCCGGACGACGCAACACCCACTTCGCACAGCACTCACCTCCCGTGTTGGGATCCGCGAGCACGCTACTTCCCATCTCAGGAGTCATCGTCATCTTCATCCAACCTCATCCGGTCATACTGTCAAGAAAGTCGGCGTTCTGTTGTAGGAAAGTTGGGGCATCGTGGGCACAGTCACGTGTACTTAATCACGACCGCCCGTAGTTGTGACTGGGCTTCTGACAGCAAAGCTCCTCGGAATTGTGACGATGCCTGCAGTGCTTGTCGGATGTGGAACTTTCTGAAACTCATCTTGAAAGCACCAGCCGCAAGCCTTCTTCTTGGGTTGCCGCGGCAAGTGGTCCGCAGGTCGCTTGGCATGGGCCTGCCCCAGGCCCACGACTTGGTGTCAAGTTGTCAAGGATCCTTGATCTCTCCCACAGCTGCGGGCCGCTGGCCTTTGCACGTCCCGGGGTGCTGTCTTCAGCCGAGGTCTCGGGCGCCGCTTTGGGCGTCCTGACTGTGACAACGTCCGAGAGGCCACGTCCAGCAGCTACCTTAGGCTCCAGTACAGGGCAAGCGAGCAAGCTGGCACCCGAGACCAACTGTCCAAGCAGCTGCGACTGCAAAAACCTGACCTCCTTCTCCCAACAGAATGGGGCCATCCTGCAAGCAAGGCTGCTGAAATGCTCCCTTCATTTCTCCTTCATTATCAGTTCGGCTGGCCTGTGGCGCTTGCAGAGTGCCTTTGGAGCCGGGTTTTGGCAGCGAGCCATCTGCCGTGAAAAGCACGGCTGAAGCTGGAGGCAGGGGCCTGCAGTGCAGGGCTGCAATGGCTGCAGGGTCGGCTTGGTGCTTTGAAAGCTCCGGAGCAAATTGGAGGGAAAGGGAGGGCCTCACGGTCACGGCCCAAGCGGCACCGGAGCCGGGATCCGCCCGCTCCAGGGATAACTCGGGCGGCGGCGCACGCAGCGCTCCGGAGGCCAAGGCCTTGGCGAGCGGCATCTGCTCCTGGCATCAGGCGACCCTCCAGCCAATTTTCTTGATTGTTCTAAGTCGAAGCTCCCGATGCTGAAAGTAGGAACTTAGCCTGCAAAGTGGGCCACGGCAGCCAAAATCCCGAAGGAAGCGGCGCGGCTGGAAACCCGTCTGCAGCTTGCGGGAAGCCGACCGGAGCAGCATGCCGCAAGCGGCATGCAAACTTGCAGATGTCATCCTCAAGGCAATGAACAATGGGCCGACTTCGAGTGAGAGCTTAAGTACGACACTCCTCAACAGTGGGATATCACCGACAAATCGTGACAAAGCCCGGCAGGCAATCCAAGCGTCCAGATCTGGAGGATTCAGGTCCTTGGCTTCCACGGCCTTGCTTGCCAGCGTCTTGCCACGGTGAGCAAGGTCCTGGGGCTGTTGGGTTAGACCTCTCATGCTCGCGTTTAATGATTAGACTAGCGGGGGACTGTGGCGTTGTTGACCCAAGGGATCTCAGCGTTTAGGGGCACGTTATACTTTTAGTATCATAAGGAACCCCTACGAAAAAGTCTAGGTAATGATTGAGGGCCCTGCAAATCCCAACAGAGGCCCCGGGCCCGGGCCGCTCTTGCCTCGATCTCTGTGAAGAGCTTCAGCAAATCATCGAAAGCCCGTGCCGCATCGGCAGCCGGCTCAGCCATGAATTCGAGGGCAAGCCCCAAACTAAACGAAGCAAAGCTCGGCTTGTGTCAGATGCTGAGTATGTGCAATCACTTCCAACGCGAATCCTTGCAGCTGTTGCACCTGCTTGGAGCTCTGTGTTTTCGGAGAGATTAAGTGCAATCATGTCTAGCGGGAAGTGACAGGCGGTACTTCTGGAGCAAACCTGTGATTGCTGAGGAAGGCTGCGACAGCAACAGTTGCTGCGACAATGTACTCTCAGGTACTGTAACCTCGTCACTGAGCATCCGGCTCATTCCAATCCCAGTAGTTGTAGCCAGCGTCCAGAACCGAGCCATACATGGCCTTCAATGCAATGCATGATTGAACCGCTGCAGAGTAGCTTGACCTACCTGTGACTCATTTGGTGCCAAGCTCCGGGCCATGCATCCTCGATATGCCAGGAAATCCATGAAGCCCACCCTTTCACGAATTGAGGTGCCCTCACCATTGGAAGGCTCGTGTGTCCACTTCACATGTGCAAGCAAGTCGCAGGAAAGCAGAATTGTGCTTGTAGGGGTCATTCCTTGCTCAAAACAGCTCACCAGTGGACACATGACCAACGCGTGACACGCATCCGACAAGAGGAGCCGGCACACCATGTCCAAAGCGTTGGCAGTACAGGGTCCATGCCTTGTCGAAATGCAGAGAAACCCTAAACCCCTAAACTCCAAACCCTAGAGGCCCTATCCTAGAGATCCTCGAAAAGCAGCCCATAGGCCGTAGGCCATAGACACCGGAGCCCTGAGCCGGAGGCCTGCTGCCAATGGTGCGAGTTTCCTTGGATCTTTGCTCCAGCGGTAACACCGCTGACTCAAGGTGACCACTCTGACGTCGCTCCTAGCGAGCCAAAGGAAGCTCCAAGGAGGCAAGGCTCGCTGCCCGGTTTTCACGAGCTCTGCGAGGGTTTCCACTTCTTAGTGCAGAGACGTTGGAAGGCAGTCAACCCCTGCTTAGAGGTTTGCGGTTTGCGATGCAAGGTTAACCACGACTTGTAGCTACGAAATGGTACGAAGACAGCGAGGCCCAACAGCCGACAAGAACCTTTCGGAGACACACACACACACACACAGAGCCACAGACTGACAGACAGACATCTCTGACAGACGGACAAACAAACAGAGACATACTGGCACACGAAGACACGCGAGACTCTCAGACGCGCACACTCGCACTCTCGCACACACAACAAACACAACACATACCGAGATGCGTGGATGAAAGCAGCCGCACTGCACTGGAAGAAGCACATCACGGAGTGCACTATTGTGGGATGGCATTTGCAGACTGCTTCCCCTTGTCTTGTGCTTCATCCCTCCCCTTCCACCCGCACAGCCGCGGGCTTTCAGGAGCAGGAGATTCCAAGCGACCTGGCCGAAGAAGGTTCCAAGGACTCCGAAGTCAAGTCCCAGAGTCCCAGAGAAGTGCAGCCTCCAGCATTGTACTGTGCCACAAACTCTTCAAGGAACCTGCAACTGCAACCAGCAAATCGCTTTGCTTCGGGCTCTGGCTCTACGGTGCCAGGTAGATTCACTCCTTCTTCCACGGTCTGTTCTGAGCACCGCGCTCAGGCGTGTGCTTGCTAGGATCCCGCACCTGGTGAACTCTGAGGATTCTCGCAGTATGCATTCTGACTGCAAAAAACATCAACAAACACTTGGCTGCCAGGCTCCGTTTCCGCGAGTGTCGCACCAAAGGCCTTGCGCAACACAAGCTCATCAAATCAGATGACATCTTCACAATGTCGAGAGAGATCTCCATGTGCCCGAGAGATCTGCTTACTGAAACTTCTGAGTGGCTGACCCCATTGTTTGCGGCCCTCTTGGCTTCCCTTTTGAATCTCCTCAAATGTGCGCGCTAGGATGACTGCGACTGTTCCTGCATCGCATCGCGATGCATCATCATGCATCATCTACATCCCCACCGGGAGAGGCGAAACAACATGAGCGTCCTTCACCTTGACAATGGCTTCGGACGCCATCGCCATGACGACACAGAGCAGCCACCCCTCTTTGATCTCGTCCCAGGCTATGCTGTTTGTGTGGATACGAATGCACTAACTGCGAGTGTCGGGTGATTCGCTTTGTGGCGAATAGCAATGCATGTTTCAAGCGAGCTTGGACGAAACGGCAACGGAACAGCAACACACACCCACCGGGCCGGCTCGCTTCGAGATGCTCCGTGTCTGCGCGGTAGAACCTTCTGGTGCTACCACTAGCCAGACTCAGCGAGCCCTGACCGAGAAATTGGTCTCCGGTCACCGCAGCCATCAACTCAGTTGTGATAACGTGGTACGGTTGGAGCAGGAGCCGCTGTACCAGTTTGAATAAATTCGAATTTTGTCTGCATTGTGTTGCCAGCATCATGGTGCCTTCAAGATCTCTGGCCGGCGTGACCCACTGAGTCAAGACGTAATGCAAGTGTCCCCTGCACGCCTGGGAGGTGATTTCTTCCTTGCAGATTGCATCAATGCGGTTAATGCCGCTATGTTACTGCGCCAGTTATCGCTGCACGACTTGGTTGGCCCTTCAGCAGCTTCACCTCTTCTGCTAAATGGTCTGGGCCACGCGTCAATCCACAAGACCGCTTGCTGTGGCTGGTAATCAGCAGCCAGTCCAGTCCTCCGGATTAACTCGGGCCAAAGGGGTGCTTGCAAATTGGAATATCAATACACTCTGCAAGCGCCAGTGGAGCATCATCGAGTCACCCCTGCCAGCTACAACAGGATGATCAAACTGACGGAGATGGGTGGCTGTATTCGCTTGACAAGTTTCGTTTCTGCAGCAGTTGCAACACACAACTCTCATCAACGTCAGGGCTGCTGTTGCGATCTCCAGTGGCAGTCGCCTGGCCTCCCCGATCCCTCCGTGCCCTGTGATAGACATCTCAGCATGCCTCTAGACTCGATCGGAAGTAATCCAGCTGCGATCGCGGCCTGTTTCTGAATGGCTTCTGCTGACGGAGGTATGCCACTTGCGGTTTCGCAGGGCACTGTCAGCTGTGAATTAGCTGGTGAAACGCTGCATCCACTGCGCTTGCCGGGCAACCGCTAGGCCTTAGAGAGACCAGGCTTTGCACAGCAAACGAAACATCAAGACGTGCCCGGCTACATCGAAGCACCCCTCATGTGGCTCCAAAGTTTCATGCATGAGTATTGGGCTCGAATTTTTTGGGGTCCTGCAAGTTCCCGAGACCCCTGCAAGATCGTCTCGGAGCTGCTCGATCATGGCTTCGCGCTTACGGATCTGCCCGCAGTCAGTGGCGGAAAATTCATTGACAAAAATGTCCGTTCGCACGGGGAGACGTACGACGGCACGCTGTTTGGATGTTCTGAAAAACATGCAAAAACCCTTTGGCTTGTGCCGGCAAAGTTTAAACCGCGAACTCCACACATGTTCAAGCCTCCTCCAGTGCGCGCTGCTCGCCAGCTTTTGCCTGCGGGCTGAAAGGTGAAAGTGCCAGTCGAAGTTACTGCCGGGTTTTGGCCCGTAGGCACCAACCCCACATGCCCGCTGACGTGACATCTACTTGCAGGATGGGCTAGTATATGTATATGTTTAGGGCGTGTGGCCACGTGAAGTATGATCATATGGTTGCGCAGCATGTTTTCGTGTTGTGACATGCTTGCAGCAATACGCATGCCGAATACTTGCGTACCATGCAATTAAGGTTCACAAACAAAACACAGCCAGCCTTGATCTGTCGCTGCCGCGCATCTTGGAGTTGCCGGACCTGTTTTGCTCACGCAAGACAGAGTTGTGTGCTGTCTAATCTGCTTGCTGCTTTATTGTTGTGATCACCGCATTGCAATCAAAAAGTAGCACCAATGCTTCTCGACTGCTGTGCAATCAGCAGGCCAGAGTTTCTTCTTGTGCGGGCCGTGTGTTGTCAGGCATCTTCAATGTACTATGGGCGCGTGCTCCACGGAGCGACAAGCTGAAAACAGTTTCGACAAGCGACAACATGTTCGCCTCGGCCCCGGCCGAAGCAGTCAGAGTTTCCCACAGGCTTTTTCACCATGTCTTAGTCCCTCTCAGTGACCACCTGCCACTCAGCCCGGGAGTGCGGACCCCCCCCCCCGATCGGCTCCAAGGTCAGGTGAAGTTTTCTTGGTTCCACCGGATTTCGGTTGTTTGTGCGGCAATTCGACCCACTTTTCCTGTTCGACGGCCCTGCCGCCCCTGCGCAGCTAGCTCCTTTCATGTGAACGGGTTGATGGTCTAGGGCAAGCATTTCGACTCGCACACTCGCACAACGCAAGCACGGCTTCTGAGTTCCCATAAGCACTTAAGGGCTCCAACGGCCCAGCTCGTTTTGTGAAGTTGGCAGCGCACAGCAAATCATCAGCCTTCTTCACTTGCAACTGGGCCGAGGCGGGCGACGCGAAGCTTTTACAATAAGTTGTGGCAACAATCAACAAGGACCAGAAGGAGCAGCAGCCACAGTCATGAGAATCAACAGTTTGATCATCGTCACCATGTCAACAATCGAAGCAACAAAAGTTGCATGTTCGCCTGGCATGCTCGAAGCACTGAACAGCGCTGTTGTGTGACTGCTGCTGTCTGTTCTTATCCTGAATGCCATATTGATTGACGCTGATGCTTATGATTGAGATGACTGTTGTTTTTGCCGTTGTTCCCGGGATTTTCAGCCTCGGACACGAACATAGGCCCTGACAGCATCTCGGATTTGCTCGATGAAGTCCTCCTCCTCCTGGCGGCTACAGGCCTCGGACACAGCCCGCTTCGGCTCTTATCTGCACAAGGGATGCTTTCTAAGGCAGCCCGGTCTAGCCACTCCTACTGTCCTGGGATCCCCGGAATTGGAATATCACCCAAAACAACTCCTGAAGCAAAAACTGTGAACTTGAGGGGATGTCATGCTGCATTGGTCAGACACTGAAGATGAGAATCCACTCGGCATGGCTAGCCAAACAAAGAGCCCGGAATCCTTTGAGACAGCCACTACATAGACGCAGGTAGAGCCTTGAACACCTGTCAGATTTGAACTACCTGGAATGAGAAGTCACAGAAATTTGCGAGAAGCGCGAGCCCCAGCGCAACGGATCCGAATTTGTCTCAAGCCACTGAAAGTCCCCACGTGTAAGTGTCCGAACGCCACATGCTGCGGCACCGCGGATGACTGCAGCTCGAGGAGTTCCGAGCCTAAATGGAGCAAAGCTTTGGGTTAGGATATAAGGTCGCAGGTGTGAGTACGACACCATGAAAAACTGTCATGGTCATGCGGTAGGAAGATGCAGGGAAACCCGGAGAGCTTAGTCACACTGGGCGCCAAGCTCGTAGCTATCAGTTTGTGCCTCACCATCTTGCACCTTAGCCCCCGCGGCATGCCAGGAATAGCTCGTCGATGCTACCAGGCTAGGAGTGCGGCAGTGGCCGGAAGCTTCACGTCGCCTGCCAGGTGAACCCGCACATCAAGTCATGGCAACATGCCTGTGACCGAGGAGATTGGCAAGTGGCTACGAGATCCAGCGACCCAAACGCGGCAAAAAACGCGACTCTTTCTGAAGCGGTCTCAGATCGGGAAGGCGCGGGCCACGGCTTTCGCGTAGTGCGCTGTCGAGCGCAGGACACCCCCGTCCAGTTGGTCGAGCACGGTGCGAAGGGTCTGGATGGCCCAGGGCCTTAGGGGCTGACGGGGCTGATGCACACAGGACATCAAGCAAGTTTTCTGTATAGGCTCTCACTTCAGCGCCGAGCAACATCGCCCAGAAGTACGTGCCGCCTTTGAATCCGAGCTCCCAGCCTGTGCCAAAGATCCCGATAGGCCAGTAGCTCTCTGATGATTGCTTTGGTGCTGCGTGATGGCGCAACATGGGCTCACTAGTCTGTTCGATCAACTTCTTTGTAGGACCAAGGGAGGCAGCTGTTTCAGGTTTGGAAGCCTCGTTGCCGTCCCGCTCGCGTGCACACCTAAGGCATAGGCAAAGATCTCACACGTACCATACGGTTGATGATATAAATCCTGCATTATAAGGAATATACCATAATTCCCATAGTTTAGGGCCCTTAAGGTAATGCAGGATTTATATCATCAACAGTAGCATTACGGACTCTCGCGAACAACACCAAAGACTCTCGAAAAAAGGCGGCCCGGAACTGGCGACCCGCCCAAAGCACATCTAGACGGTTGCCTGAAGTTAAACCAGCAAAACATCATGTGTATATGCCAATCTCTATGTGTACATACGTGTATGTGTACATCTGTATGCAGGCCTACATATTATATATATATATATATATACATATATATACACACACATATGTATATACACATCCCTCCATCCATCCATCCATCCATGTGTAAGCATGCAATATCCATTTATGTCCATATGTGTCTGCATGTGTGTGTGTGTGTGTATGTAGGTGTACACATACATACCTACCTTCCCTCACGAAACCGAGCTGCGAATAAAGTCCAGCACGGCCAGATCAAAGTGTTGCTTCCTCGGCTGAAGATTCTGAATAATCTCCGAGAGGACGTCATACGACATCTTTAATATTAACAGACTTGTTAATCGAGGATTGGTATACGATGCTGCTCCTACGCCATTCACAGTTACTGAAGACAGCTAAGTTTCAAGACGGTTCGTGTGTAGGCAGATTTTGCTGGATGCGGCAGCCGGTCCAATAACATGGTGTGGTACTCGGACAGCAAGTCCTCTCTGGCCAGTGGAAACAGCAAAATCAGATGAACAAAAAACCCAACACACTGCAACCACATAGATCCCCGTAAGTTCAAAAGAAACCCCGGAGAACACACTGCAACCACATAGATCCCCGTAAGTTCAAAAGAAACCCCGGAGGCAATGCCGCCACCGCACTCGTGTGACGCGCTTGCTGGAGGGACCGTCCTCGACGACGTTTGTCGCTATTTGGTCCCAAAGCAAGTATGCCACATCACGCACTCCGTAACCTGCCATGAGGACGCATGCAAAGCTTCCGTGCCGTGAGTCTGCGTGTTGCAAATTCCGCAATTCAATGCAAATCCCCAGCTCTTGCATTGAAAAAAACTCTCTGCTGTTGTGTCTCTGCGTGGCCTTCCCCGACCCAGCCGAAGTCCAAAGCTGCGCAGCGAGGTGCCGGGCCGTCGCTGCAAAGCATGTTCTCAGGCTTCGCATCGCCATGCACCTGCGTGACTCTCGTGGGTCTTTTCAAAAATGGGAACATTGAACTCAGAAGGACGTGAGGCACGGAACGGCTGTTGCAAATCAGCTTGAAGTGCATTTTCGCAACCGGGAGCCCGACCAGCGTGCGAAAGCGGGAGTCCGTCTTTCCCGGGTGTTCTGGATCTTTGCCGGCCTGCATCGCACTCCGGCTGAAAGATGTGAAGATAAGCTAGGCACCGAGAACATGCAATTTGGAGCTGAGATTTGCACTATCTTTTGTGAAGAGGGAATTAGGCATGCATGTGTGGACCGCCGCTCAGTAATCCGAAGCCGGTAGGAGAACGGAGCAAGACCCATCCTAGGGATGTCCGGCCAGACGTTGATCCACCGCGAGAGCTGCTCTGCGGAGTCTCTGTGTCTCCTGCGGCGTAAGCTTGGTGACGTGGCTGACGATGTGGGAACCTATGGGACTGTGGGCTATGCTCCGAGACATGCCCTACTACTAGCCCTGCACTTGCGCCGTGCAAGCCACACTAAGCCACGCTAAGCACTCAGCTACGCTGAGTGCTCCATGTGCTCCTGAGCCGTGAGGTAGCGGTTGCTGAAGTCAGCAGGCAGAGCTTCGAGTTGAAGCCTGCGAAGGGTGGTACATGGCTCCAGCTGCAAGTTTGTTACCGGACCGTAGCCAGAGGCCGGTGAGGGCTGTCATGCTCTTTGTTGGTACACTTGCCAAGGCAGGCCATAGCACAGTCGGCATCATCAGAGCCGTGGCTGTGCAGTCGGGCCACTGCCCAAGCTTGTCCAGGATCCAGTAGCCTGGGATGCTCTCTGTGCGTTGGATGTTCGTATGGCCTGAATAATGTGACTTTCTGGTGTTTCAAGCTCCCGATGCCCAGCAACTGCCCTGCTGCCAGAGCCCACGCTGCTCAGCGAAAGGCTTCCTCAGAAGAGAATGTACAGTGAAAACCTTCCTGGCATGAGCTTGGGTACCTGCTTGCCATCCCACGACGTGGAGGCGTAGCTTCCATGACTATCCAGTCTTTTGCATGGCCAAGCATCTCCCAGAAAAGTGCATGGAAGCCTGCAAGCCACCTGTCGAACGATCTCTTCGCACTAAAGCACGGAAGTCTCTGCGAACTGTGGTCAGGTACGAGTTCAGAAACATGATGTCAAAGCAATTGGAAGTGCTGGGGCCTCAGGGCTGCCAGTGTTTCGGCGCCGTGGAAGTGGCGAACTGCTGCTCCAGCACCCCGTGGGAAGCGCAAAGAAAGATCCTATGCTGTTGCAAAATGGAGAAGCACAACTGGCAAGTTGTTCTGTGGCTCTATGCTCCTCCAGCAATATGACGAAGGGTTCGCCCAGCTCAACCTCCTCGACATGCAAAACACCTCAAGCTGACTGCCTCAAAAAGGCTGTTCATGCACATGCATACATAGCTGTATCATAACGTCCAACACATTCCACATGCTCCTGCAAAGGTGCGGGGAACAGCAAGGTCGGCTGCAAGAAGCTCCTTGGAGAGGTTCTTGTATGCAGCGGCCTTTCAACCACTTCTACTCGGGGCTGGGCCATCGAATAAGCAGAGTCGACAGGGCCTCGACATGGAAGCCCTGCATGAAGCGAGAATGCTCGGTGAGAGTCAGCATGTCTCCAACCTGTGGCATTCGGAGCCAAAACAATCCTAGCAAGGCGGGCACCTCAGTACCTCCTGATCCTCCTCTGACCCCTTCTGCACTGCAACCCTGGGGGCGCCTCAAGGCCAGCTTTGGGCCGGATCTGTTTGGCGATGATGCTCGGAAGGGGTGCCTCCGTGCAAGTGCCGGGCTTCCCAAGTAAAGGCCCGAACCTGACTATCAAACTATCACTTTGCAAGCGGGTGACATGATCGAGAGCCATGTGCACTCGCACCTGGCGAGTTGGTTGTGCGATGATGTGGCCCGCAGAACGGCTCAGGTGATTGAATCTGGAGGTGAAATATGAAATCATCGCCGGGGCACGATGTCTCCATAGTTCCCTCCTTCTCCCGTTGACCTTGGCAAGGGGCAGCTAGTCCTTGACGCAATACGCTCCAAACCACTGCGACAAACATCACATGCCTCTCTCTTTCCGTTAATGTTAAAGCCGTAGCTGACCGCCAAGCCCATCAACGGCAGCCTCGGGGCGCTAGGATCTCTGCCACAGGCTCCAGGAAGAGACTCGGCTGTCCAGGAAGGCCCAGCCAGAATTGCAGCTGCTCGGCCGAAAGCGTCGAAAGGTCTGGGCTTGATGACCTTCTCAAGGTTGTGCTAGCATATACGGTCGTGCACAGCGAAGCAAGCAGGTGCCTTTGGCAGGATCCAAGCTCTGCTGTGCAGGAGGCGGCGAGGACAAGCCCCATGATTCATCGCTGTTTTGTTTGAAATGTACAAGTTCCTTAAGACCACTCCCAGCTCAAGCAAGTGATCGAAGACCAAACCCTTGACCTAGTCGCTGTCGGTACAGTGACGGTTCTATCCGGAGCATGCTGCACAACATATCGGTGTCTGCTGAATGTAACTCTTGAGCACGAACACTCCGACGGAGGTGCACACCAAAAGACATCCGCAGCTGCAAAGGCCAAACTGCGCCTTGGGACTCCTCCGGTCCCAAGAGCTCGCTGTCACCTCAAGCAGATGCAGTCTCAGTATCAGTCTCAGAATCAAGTTCATCTCTGAGTCAATCTTACTTTCATGTGCCCTGCAAGCTGAAGGACATGTGGCTGGGGCGGTCACACACCGTCTGGGGTGCTGCTGACAACAGGAAGGCGTTGCCCAGGTATTTACCGATCCTGGGCCACGGCGGCCATGGTGAGTGGAAGCCGTGACAGAACTGCGCAAACTGCAGATGCAAAGCGAAATCGGCAGCTTCATACCAACATGACCAGCTTCAGAAACGCATAGCGAGAGTCGAATGGTTCCTATTCCAACACCAGAGCGAATGCACCTAGGCTTGAGGAAACGGCGGGCCCCTTCGCAATGCACTGTAAGGTGAGGTGATCTGCTTCTCCAAAAGCTGAGCAAGTTCCTGAAAGTTCAACATCGCTCTCCTGCACTTCGTGGAAACTTGCTCGTCTGAGCAGCCGACTAAGCCACTTCGCGAGTCTGTGTGCGAGCGAGGCCGCATCAGGAACCTCGGTCACAATCGAGGTGGAGTTTATGCATATACACACACACACAAGCAGGACTCCCACTCTGCGATGATCGCAGTCGCACTGCCATTTGTGACATTCACGACCTCCACCTGAGCATAGTCATTTCTTTTCATGGCCAAGGACTGTCAGCTTGTCCCCTCCATGAGGATCTGGCACAGTTGCCATGTGCTGGCAGACCCAGTGAGGAGCAAACCTCAAAGCGCGAAATATTCGGCCGCCCCCCCCCCCCCCCCCCCCCGCGCAGCAAGAACATCAAACTGACGAGGCCGGGGAAGGCACGCTTTTGCAGAAGGAATGCCGAAATCCCGGCAAATCCTCGGCCACTGTGCGGACTGAACCATGTCCAGCTTTGAGCTTACCTTCCTGGACTGCCATCTGCACGCAGGTTGCTGTATGCTGATCTTCTGTCGACAGTCGTTTCTGTATCGCACTTTGCTTTTGCGTGGATTGGACCCGGTGAACGTAGCGTGGAACTGAGGCGTGATCCTTTGCGATGGACGAGAACTCGTGGTCCTGCATGATCAGCCACCGATGCCTGAGACTTCCGGGCCAAGAGTTCTGCAGTTTTCTAACAAGCCACCCGTCTTGGACGACGCAACAGTCCGGTACGTAGCAAATTTATACTATCCTTGCTTACTGCTTTGAAAGCCACTTTCTGGAGCCGCTGTTTCAGTTGCCATCCTTTCCTATTGCAGCCGTTATTGGGAATTTATGTCCATGTTTGCTCCCGTTGGTGTCTCTTATGGTTCCGGTGTGGTTCTTCCTGGCCTACACGCCGATGTATCCGATATGCATCACGGGCCACTGGGCCAGTGCAGTGCTGATGGTGCGCACTCGCTTCTGCACATGATAGAGATTGAGCTTCGGCTCGTCAACTCCGAGCCCACGGCACTGTGGCATCCTGCAGGGGGTCTCACTACGCTGAGGACCAGGACCGGGAGTCTTGCAAAATCGCGCCGTAAGCTCCCCGCCAGATCACCATATGCATCCTGAGAGAAGGAGCTTGGTGCTTCTAGTGGCGGCGAGTGTTTGCGTGTAGCATCATAGCAAGGCGAGATTCAGCATCCGCCACGAAGTTGTCAGTCTCCTCCAACCGGCGCCTTGGAACAAGTTGCAACGATGAACGACAAAAGCCCCGCCTTCCCCTAGCAGCATGTTGAGTTGGAGAGTGTCGCCACATACGGTCACGCGCTTCCCGATCCTAACCCCGGCGGGCCGGGTGGGTGGAGTGGGTGGGTGGGTGGGAGGGCGGGTGTTCGGTTTCTTTATTCCCGTTCTGGGCTGGAAGTATTACTTGTAGCTTTAACCCACCTCGCCGAGTGATTGTCGGTCCAACAACAGCAGCCTTCACGACGATTGCCTCTTCAAGCACCCCCCATCCCTGGGACTGTTTCCCTTTTCGAGTCTAAAAACAACAACTGTCGCGATGATTCCCATCCAAGGCCCCCCCGTCCCCGCATCGTAGCAAGGGTCGTGGCCAGAAAAATGCACCTGTCGTCAGGCCGCTGGGACTACAGGAACGCGAGACGCCAGGATGCTCGGCCGGACTGCAAGCGCGAACTCGAACACGCTGGGGCATGTCGAGTCTTCCGGTGTTTGGCCTCACCTGCAAGGCTGCTTCTCTGGCACTTCGCGACGGCAACTGGAAGGACCACTCGCAGCGCAAAGTTGTGATGCTCATTGGATTCTCGGCGGTTGCGTGCTGGCACAAACTATCGCCACACATGCTCTCATCGGGGCTGCTGTGCTTGACGGGTGATGCATTCGTCGCACAGCTGTTTAAACAAGCATCACGCCCAGTGACGGCAAATATTCTGATAGATGGTCGGTGCGTCATGCACATGCAACAAGTACAGCTCACGGTAGATGCCGCGGAATGGGCTCCGGACGTCCATGCCAAGTGCTTCTCTGCGGGGTTGACCTCGGAGCTGCGGCACGACCCATGCTGCGCACTGTACCTGCTGCTGGCTTGAGAACCCTGCACCTCTTGGCAAGAAGTCCTTTGGCTCTTTCTGATCCTCAGTCAGAGAATGCTGTTGCACACCTGGTTCGGTGTCTGACTAATTGGAGCACTCAAGGGATGCTCCCCGTGGGGCAAGTGAGCTGTCGGCTCTGTCGCGGCGGACTGATTGAACATCCTCCTCGGCAAGGGACTTTAGAGTCTGCAGGATCGTCTCGCATGACCATCGCGAGCTCGGTCTGCGGCCGTTGTTGCGGATCGCCTGAGCTTCGATAGCCAGCTTCTACTTACCCGCTTCGGAGTGCTTCGAAGCTGAGCCGAGGTCGTCAGAGATTTCTGGGTGCTCGCCCAGCCTGGCGGGGGCCTCGAAAGATACGGCTGCCCCATTGCACCACGAAGTAAAGCCCTTTGCGTCCCCGGCGGAGGCTCTGTGTCTATCACGGGCTCTGTTGTCAACGGCAACGTCTCGTAGGCATCCCGGATCTCAAGGTGTCATAGGCTTTTCCACCAGAAGCGAAAGGCTTCCGCAGCTAGGGCCCCAGCAGACGGTGTCAAAATCCGGTCAAGCTCCAACTGCCCGATAACCTGAGCTCAAGACTACTTTGACTACGCAAAGAAGACAAGGAGTTTTTACAAAGGTCCTTGATCAGCTGGGTGCAACACGCGTTCTCGCTGGAAGGCTTCCCTGCTTCCGTATATTTGCACAGCTTCGGCCTTTGCCAACGCCGAAAGAAACTAATGCGCTTCGCAAACACGGGCAAACATGTAGTACAGGTGGTTCCAACAGGGACGAAACTGCAGGAAGGCAGGTTCTCTGTTTTGGCCTATGAAACGTCGCGTGGTCAATCGCACTTCTCGAGCGATCGGGACATGCTGGTCAGGCAGGCAGACGACGTGGTCGAGGACACTACAGATAGTTCTCCAGGATGGAGGCAGGTGCCGTGCAGCGGAAGCCCAAGCATCGCCCCTTGGCCTTCCGAGTTGAGCACTGCATGAACACGCAATGCCAAGAGCTTTGCTACGGCAAACCCCTTGCCTCTGGGTGCCGGCCTCTGCGGTAGCTGCTGCGCGCGAGCCTGTCGCAGAAGACAGCTATCGAGGAAAAAGGGGCGGCTTTGCAGGTTTGTCCTTTGTCTCCTCCTCTTCCCCCCTACAGCAGCAGCTACTACTGCTGCTGCTGCCACCACCGCACGAGTCCGGAGGTCTGACAGGCCTTCAGAACCCTTCGCCCTGGCTTCAGAGATCAACCCAGCCCAAGGTAAACGAAGCGACAAATCATCGGCCCCAGTCGAAAGAGGCTCGGTTGAGTCTTGAGGCGGCTATGGCAGTAACAAAAGCTGCGACACCGCGTGGATGTCAACGACGGTCGACAAACTCTTGCAGATGCACACCCTTCGTGCGAAAGGCGAGGATGCGTGAGTAGGACAACGCCACAAACGTAGCACACTGCACTAGTATCTGAAGGCGGTCGAACTTGCAGCCGAGGTGCGAGGCGGGGCCCACCCAGCTTCCTCCCCGTTCGCTCTTGAGAGCACCCTCTTCTGCGTTCCAAGCATCGGGTAAACTTGCTTCCGTTGCGAGGTAGAAGTTGCTATGGTACGTGTCGCGACACCACTGCCACACATTGCCAGCCATTCCTCTGAAACCAAAGGGAGATACTCCCAAGCATGCATTCACACCCACGAGGGGTAGCTCCTCCAGAGGAGCGGCGACATGGGCCGCCATGTTACCCTTGTTGTCGTATGCGCTTGTATCCCAGCAAACATTAAGCAACTCGGCTGTTGCTTCCTCGTTGCCCCATGGATACTGTAGCGGCTCGGCACCACGGGCGGCATACTCCCACTGAGCCTCTGTGGGGAGAAAGCTCTCTTTCGCACTTTTGTAGCCGTGCCAGTCGCGGCCATGTGCCTGACACCGAGATTGCAAAACCCTCTGTGGACCAACCAGCAATGCCGGATGCATGTCGGATCGTGTCGAACTCAAGTCACTGCGCGACCCGATGGAATGAAACTAGCGTGGCAAGCCATGAAGCACATTGCGAGGCTAGTCACCAACCTATCTGTAATCATACATGCATGTATAGCATGTGAACCATGTGGTGGAAATACTCGCATGGGTTTATCGTGTCAGCCTCTGGTTTCACGTTTGCCGCTCATGCCATTGCGATTGGATGCATGCCTCACAGTGGCGGGCATGCTACCCGGATGGACCGGAAAACCTTCATCTAGATGCGCGAACAAACCCAGGACCCTGAGTGTTGCCGGGGTACCCAGAGTGCGTAGGCATTGGCACCATACCAGGACACGAGGATCATTGGCCAGTTTGGGGGCACTCCAGGCTTCACCTGACAGGGCACAGGAACTCTTCAGAGGCCTAGAAATGAAGAACCATGGCCTGCCAACCGGTCTCCGTGAGTGTGAGGGGGATGTGGCAGCATCTCGCATCTTCAGCTGGCAGAAGGCACCAGTCAAAGAGCTCGTCCTGTGTCGGCTGCGCGGCGTTGAGGAAGCGTGCAAAGGCACCCATGCTCACCGGCTCAACATCCATCAGGAAGCTGCTCAGGTGTACCGGATGACTCGGGCCCTCATTGTCACGCTCGCTCTGCATGGAGTCGTCTCCAACGCGGACTTCACCGCCGGGAACTCGTATGCATTCCATGCCATCGGTCGCGCGTGAGAAGCGAAGCCCTGAGGTGTCGACGGCCTTGTAAGGGGTCGACGCTACAGTCACCGCTCCAGCAGTGAGCTGTGTAAAGGGCGCCAAGTCATGACCGGCATGCGGATGTGCAGTGCTCTGACTTTCGAGGCTCTTCGTCCTCTGAGTCTTTGGCAAGTCCACAATTGCCTGAGAAAGCTGTTCTATGGTGGGGTTGTCGAAGACCAATCGTGGGTCGATGTCAACCTCTGGAAATTCACGCCCAAGCTCGAAGGCATCCATAATGATACACCTGGAATCTCGTCGTGTAAGTATGTTGTCAGATGGTCGCAGAAGTAGGTCTGGATCGTTCGGGTCGAAATCGTCCAGTTCTGCTGCCGGCTCTTCCTCTGCCGGCTGCCCAGCCCGCTCGTTGAGGATGCGAGAGACACGCTGCAAAACACCATCAAGTACAGCTTGAGCTTTTTTCTGCATCTCCACCTCTGAAATCTCCATGGCTACCACCGGAAGCTGGTGGCAGAGAAAGCCACTTGAGCCCCACAAGTAGAGTTTTGTGCAACAGCGCAACAATCTGCAAAGATTCGCGGAAACTTCTACAAGTAGACGAGTGTATCCTAACGACACCGTTTCAAAAAACAATGTGGTAGTTTCGAGCAAAGGAAGGCTCCACTTGATAGATGGTCACGGCGCTGTTGCACCAGGGCTGCTGCGTAGGGCGGAACAAGTTTCTCAAGCTCAACCATGAGCTGCGGTGTCACCTTCCACAACAGGGCTGGGCTACTGCCCTCCTTGGGGCCTACCCGGCTTGCTGGCACGGCCTCCTTCGCTTTCGCCACAGCACCTGGCCGACGGTTTGGCAGTTCTCAGGGTTCTTGCAGGCCCGCTTCCTGTTCTGGAGCTGCTCTATTAAATTATTGGTTCTCATGCATCAGGAAACATGGGATGCAAAGAGGCGCCTGTAACTTTGCCAAGCACTGTAAGCACCATCAGGCAGATCGAGGCGATCTCGGATCCGGTGCCTGCACGCCACATTGCATCTCCGAGTAGCTATGAAAAAAGGGGCGAAGCAAACCCAACATGTTGCTTCGATGCTGGGAGACTCCGTTCTGAGGGAATTGGTTCGGATTGCTGTCACATGCTGCCGGCGTGGGTCATCTCTGAAAAGCAATGACAGGCTGCCACGTGCCTAGACCCCGACCAGAGGCATCGAAGACAGCATGTAGGAAGCGTGCCTGCTGTGACAAGGCCAGAGTTCGTCCCAGACTTCTGCTTCAGGCGCCTTCTCGTCCAGGAGTGCCGAACTGAAGACACACGCCACCGTAAGGAGCTCGTTAACGCTGCAGAGCCTTGGGCTCCAACTGGCCGGTCCAACTTTGCAGAGCTTTGGGAAAGGCTTCGGTGGACAGCATCAACCACGCAACAGAACGCTGTTGCGGCCCATGCCCCTAAGCCACAAGCTCATTCTGCTGACTGAAGATATCCCAGAGGAAGAGCATGCTGGGCCTTGCAGCAAGTGTAGCGTCTTGCAGTGTCATCCTGCGGTGTAGACCGATCCTAGCTCTGAGCACCGGACGCTTTCAGGCAGAGAAGGTCCTGCACCCTCAGCAGGCTGAACGGTCTCCAGCGTATTAGCCACGAAAATACAATACAAGAAGGAGGGAGCAGCAGAACACCGGAGAAAGCCAACTGCATCAAGCCATGTTGCACTGAGGTCCGGGCTCTTCAAAGCCTAAATAGCCCTGGTCATCTTCCATGGACTTGGTCTTCCGCAAAATCCCCCAAATATCCTGCCCTGGCAGTGTCGCACAGACGTAGCTTCACTGCTTCGTTTTAGCATCAATGCCGACTGCCCACGGAATTTCTGACCTGCTAACCACGTACGACGTGGGCCGAAAGCCCCCAGGTGATCCTACCCTCTCTGTCCCCAAAGCATGCGGCGTACCCTTCAAGGCCCCCTAAGCCACCTCGGTAGCCTCCGAAGAGCTGCCGCAAGCGTGGGCCCCGCCCGGTTTCCTGCCATCCCGGGGCCTGGGATGTCCGGAGCAAACAATCATGGCAATAGTCACACTGCTGTAGCTTTAGCATGTAAGAACTAAATCAGGAAGCTCGGAACACAGATAGTAGCCGGGCTGTGTGGCGAACTAGCCTGGAACTCGCTTGCAGATACCTCACTCCCGTTGTTGTTCCCCATGCCTACTTCTTGCCCCTTGACAGGTTGGCTGCCCATCGACCCTTTGGAGCCAGTTCGTCAGGTTGCTAATTAATCTGAAAGAGGCTTCTCCAAACAGCACTGTTGTCTCTTCTTCCGCCGGGCATGAGGGGCTGTTAAGACCCCTCGGCCACAGGGCCCCCCCATATTTTGTGGGGACTTTGGAGGAGTGTGAAATTGTTTCGTAGTCCCCCCCAGGCGGATCTTTTCGGGCCATAATAGTTGACAGAGTAAACTATTTTAAAATGTTTTGCGATCCCCCAGGGTTTTTCGACTACATGTGCACGCAGTTCATCACTACATCAGCTCGGGGCGTATGATTGCAGGCTACAACACAACGTGAAAGATGGTAACAACATCAAAACATCGTGACCATAGTGGCCTAGCTTCTCCCCCGCTGGCTTAGCTAGATAGGTTCATATGACGGCCATCTGGCAACCTGGCATCCCCCTGTTGAGGTTGAAACAACAGCGAAAGAGTTAAAGAACTCAACGTGACGGGTCACACTTCGCTGGGGATGCCTTCGTGCCTACTTCCGGCTTCATGTTCGTTGACCCGAGTCTGCGAAAAAACAACACTTCCGAATAAACTGAAACAAGCAATTCCCCCGGGTTAACTGTGAGCTAGAGTAGTGTGAGCACTTCAGGTATACATGATGAAGCAACAGCATGCAGAAGTTGATAGCCTCTAGAGCCTAATAACATGGAGAGTACCAAACTGAAAACCTACCTGGTGCTTTTATGTGCAAAGGTGGATGCTCCACATCCAGTTCATGTTGTTGTTCTATCTTTTTACAGACAGAGTGAAAGAAGGGGCTTATGACTGTCGGGATGCTGACCTTCCAACAACAAGATCATGAGCACTAACACAGTAGAAACAATCCAGCGTCCCCCGAGTCCCCCCAAGGCTGCTACGGCTGCCGACTCATGCTTTCTCTCACGTGTGGTTGTGCATGTGCTCGGCCAGGGCACGTCTGCGGCGGTGACTGGAGTCTGAAGAGGGACTGCGTGGTCGTCTGGTCCCCCGGGAGCGCGGGCTGCTTGGGCTCTGCGGCGTCCATCCATGGAAGAGCGCGAGGTCCCCCATGCCGTGGTGTCTTTCAAAACGCCACCATTCCCCCGTTGTGTTTGGCTGCCCTTGCTTCTCTTCTGGGACTCGTGCTGAGATCCCCCGAACCAGTCGCATTGCTGCTTCTTGAACTTGGGGCAGATGAGCAGTTGGCCATGCATCAAGGTCTGCAGCCCATTCTTGCATCTGGATGATGGCTGTTTCCCAGGTCGTGGGTCCCCCGGGACGTTCAACCAGATTTGTGTCATGGCTGCCTGCTGCCACTGCCAGAACATTGGCTGGGTGCGTGAGGTTGTCCCCCGTCAGCAACTTGTCCATTGCTTCTGCTACGGCTATTAGCAGAGCCCAGTCCTCGGTCGTAGTCGCCCCATCCAGGATCTTGTTGAGGACGCGGCGCAGTGGCTCCAAGATTGGAGGGAGTTGCACTCGCACGGCGATGTTCCCCGCGTGCAGCGACGAAAGCCATTGCATGAGAGCTGCTACATGTGGTTCTAGTTGTCCGTAGCTAATGCACGATCCCCCGAGAGACATCTGTTGGCGTGCTATGTTCTGCAATGCTGCTGTAGCGATGCGTGCAGCCTCGAGTGGGTTCTGTAGTATTGCTGCCGTGTAACTGTACGACGATGTTGCTGGTTGTGGTTGCAGTGTGTGTTGTTGTGGAGCCTGTCCCCCCGCTTGCGGGTTGTTGTAGTCTTGTGTAGCTGCCAGCTCTTCTGCTGTCGGTGTGTCAACCAGAAGGTGCATGAGTGCCATGTCTGCATTGCGCATGATGGCTTCTGCAGTTGTCCCTCCATGCGAGCTGATGATGCGGCGTATCTCCTCCAGGTGTCTCTCTACCCTTTGCCACGAGCGTTCGTGGGTCGGGTCCGGGTTTGTATCGCTGCCTTGGTGCTGTGGTTGTGGTGCTTGAGCTGTGGTTGCGTGTTGTTGAGGGTTGTCTGCTGAGCTGTCGGCTTCCATGCTCATGTCCCCCAGGGTTGTCGGCTCGAGCTGTGTTGGTTGTGGTGGTGGTGGTAGTGGCTGCATGTCAGCTGCTTGAGCGTCCTCGGCAGTGTCCTCGAGCTTTGGTAGAGACGCGGAAAAGATGCTCTTCTGCATTAGGCTGCTGTGGTCGTTGTCAGGGTTGTTATCGTGTTGATGGCGGTCGTGTTGCTGGTCGTGTGGCTTCTTCGGGCCGATGTTTCGGCCGTCGTGAATCCGTGCTGCTAGTGGTGTATATGGTGGTCTGTTGGTGTTTGGTGGATTTGGTTGGGCTTGTGTTGTCTGTGGTGGTGTCCGACCAGGCTGGTTTCGCCGCAGCTCCCGTCTGTCAACGAAGGCTGGTTGTTGTTGTGTGGCTGTGGAGGCCGTGCTGGTGCCCGTGTGGCTGCTGGGAGCGGTGGGTGTGGTAGGCTGTTTCGGCGGTGCCTGTTTACGCGCCGGTGGGTAGTAGGAGTGCGGGGCTTCGTGTGACGAGCTTGCTCCCGTGTCGGCGGTTTGTGTGTCGTCGGTCGTCTGTTCGGCGATGGTCTGCATGGGAGGTTGTGGTGGAGGTGTGGATGTTGTCTTCCCCCCGGCTGTCCTCTGTCCAGGTGCAGGTTGTCGTAGTCGGCGAATATCCGCTGGTGGATGTGCAGAGAGGGCTTCAACTCTGATCACCCATTCACTGTCAGACTGTGAGGAGCATGGTCCCCGGCATATGGTTGCTGGCGGTGGGAGCTTCTGTAACTTCCAGCACCCAGTGCGTGTCACTTATGGCTGTGAAGGTTGCGACGATTCCCGCCGTAAGCGGCGGTGCAGTGACTGCTGTGCCTTCCTGCCCTTCTCGCACTACTCGGGGGAGCCCGCTTGCTAAGGTCTGGGTGCTCGGCTGTTCCCCCATGTTGTTGTTGATCGACACGATCCATGTCCCATGTGGGCCTGCTACGATGTTCACGTGAGTATGGCTCTGGATCGGCAGATCAGGGGGGATATCTCCCATGAATAGGGGGGCTGAGCGTCTGCCCATTCGTCCTGCAGTTGAGCTTCCCACGGTAGAATGGTGTTGTCAGCTGTGGCGGTGTCCGGTGTGGCTTGTGGTTGTGCTTCGGTGGAGGCTGTATGTGCTGTATCGTCTGCGGGTTGTGCTGTGTCAAGGTCGGAGGTTTGCTGCGTGGAGCTGGCCGGGTGGGTTTCTCCTGTCCAGAGTTGCCATGTCTCCTGTATCGTCGGCTGCTCCGCGGGCTGCTGGTCTGGTGTGGTCCCCTCTCTCTGGTCGCGGTTGGTGCCGGGTGGGCTGGTGTCAGGTCTTGGGGCACCGTATGTCCCCCACGGCAGCGTGTGGCGGTTCAGCAGGTCCGCCCAGTCCGGGTTGCTGTTGTCGCGGTTGGTGTGTTGGCTGCGTGAGGTTGCACTGCTGCTGCTCGGTCTGTGCGTGGGTTCGCTCCCCGCGCTCTGGCTTCGGCTTTGCTGTTGGTTCTGCTGTCGGATTTGGTCTCGATAGATGATTCCCCATCCCGGCCCAGTTTGGCCTTGGGGCGGGGGTCGTGCCTGGCGGGTGGCACGATCTGACTGCTTCCATACGTATTTGGACGCTTTGTTTTGGACTCTCTGGCTTCCATGCCCTTCGCTGGATCGTGGTTTGTCTGGGTCAGGGTCGTCCTCTGAGTCCGATGGGTCATTGTCGTCGCCCGGTTCGTCCCCCGTGTCTGCTTGGGCTATGTCTGCATCTGGGTCTCTACCCGCCTCTGCTTCGGCTGCGGCTTGGGTTTGTGCGGTTGCTGTGTGTGGTTTGCCTCTCGGGTCTGCTGGAGCTTTTTCCTCATCTGGGACACTGGCCGCCATTGCTTCGGCTGCTGTTTGATCCTGTGTAGTTGCAGTGCATGAGACTGCCGTTGCTTCGCCGGTTGTAGGTGGTGCTTGGTCCGGCTCGCGGTGCGGGTGTGTTGGTCCGCAGTTGTCTTCCACTGTTGTCACGGTGGTGTGTACCTGTTGTGGAGGTGTTTGCTGTGCCGGTGTTCCGGCGGGGGGCGGGGTGTCCTGGGTGTCGTGTCTCTCTCTCTCTCTCTCTCTTTGCTTTGCTTTGCTAGGGGCTTGGGGCGGGAGCAGTCCTCCCGCCCCGCGCGGGTGCGCTGCCCCATCCATCATTTGGAATGGATGGGCTCTGACTGTACGGGGACGTGTGCTCCTGTTTTTCAGGAGAAGTAGTGGGTTCCCCCGTGGTCTGGTAACAACAACAAGTTAGGTGCAATCAGAATGCTCGACCACTGGGTCCCCCACGTCGCTCAAAGAGTGTAGGGTGGGGGCCCCCGTTCGGCTTTGTCGGGAAAGAAGGTCGGCACCAATGAACTATCGAGGGCCTAGAACGGGTGCCCCTGCCCTGCTGTACTGGTATCCCTGCCTGAGCCTGACCCCCCTTTTCGCCCTGCCTCAAACCGAACGGAAGCCTTATCCCAGCAGCACGACCTGTGACCTTCCACTCAACCCTGAAACCTGTAAACTAGGCGTGTGCCCCTCTCTCGCTGTTTGTCACAAAAACGCCAGGCTAGAGGTTCTGTCCGAGAGAGTGGGCACTGTAGAACGCAGCGGGTCGGCCTGAGGGAGGCACTCTCTCTCTCTCTCTCTCTCTCACTCCGGCTCTCTCGCCGACACGGACTCAATCACTGCTGTACACCTGTGAGAGGGATTGCCGACAATCGACATCATAAGAACAACTTCATCTGACACTACTGACAGCAATGCTCGCTTTTTTGGCATCGATACACTCGTCTTTGCCTAACGCTTGTTCCACTCGTCCAACTTGCTCTTGTTGTTGCAGGCTAGCTAAGCCAAACCCTACCCCGCCGAAGGCGGCCTTGATGCGCTAGCCGAGGACGCTGTGAAATTTGGGGGGAGAGCTGTTCATCAAACGTTCCCTTCCCTCCGAGGGCCTGAGATCAGCCCTCGATAAACCAGGCATGTTCTGTGCATCGAATGTCTGAGATTCCAGCAGTTCCGACGTAGATCAGTGCAGTGGAAATGCCTGCAACTCTACTGGTCGGTGTTTTTCATACAGCGATCTCTGCACCAATACTGGGAATGACCTCTGACTCACTACACCTTCCACAGCAGCAGTATAAATGCCGCATCAACCCGAACATGCTTCCAACATCCGGCCTGTGCCCATGGTGCTCGGCACATGCTGCACTTGAGCACGGTGTAAGCAGGATTCGTGAGGATGTGCTAATTACAGAAACTTTATGAACATCTCACACCCTGCCGCAAAAAAAACATGACGGGAAGCATCTCTTTTGTTCGCCTCTCTGCAGATTCTGCGCACCCTGGCCCAGGGTGAGCCCGCAAAAAAGGCTGCTGATGAGTAACTAATTGAGTGCGAACAGCCAACAGCTTGCTTTCAAGTGGCCAGGCGATGAATATGGCTCCTTTACCTGGGATTCGTTTTATAGGTGTACAAGAACTAATTGTCCGCATGCGAGGTGAGTGTCACTGCTGCGGCGGCTTGTCCGCTGCAGAAGCCACACCAGACAGTGAGCTGCAGAAGCTGCAGCACAATGCCTCGAATTGAGTTACGGAAATCCTCATGTGGAACTTCAAACTTCCCGTATTGGTTTTCTGACCGGAAGCGACAGCCAACAATAATGAGTCGGTCGATGGTTGTGAGTTGTGTTTTCTGAGATCGTTTTTTATCAGAACCACCAGCCATGCGATCCAAGTCAGAATCGATGCACTGTACCTTTGGTACAAACCCTGTCTGTCGACAGAGTGTGGTTGGGCATGAACGCCACTGCCTGTTCGGCAAGCCGGCAGATTTGCGCGACGGCATCCGGCTCGATGCGTGCGTTGCAGCTCAACATTCACCGGTTTGAACGGGTGATGAGATACCAGATCCGTGAGCTGCAATGCAGAAAGTGCGCACCAACCGAGGTCCGCCCTCGGACATATCAAACAGGGTGCTGCATCTCGCCCAAACTACACCTCTTCGAGGTTGTCTGGAAGAGCATGCAGAACACCCTTCGAGCAGTGCTGGGTCCGTGGCTTAGACAACTGCTCCAGCAAGCCCGCAACTCCAGTGGTGTTTCTTCATGGTTTCGAGGTTTGGAGGGAGTATTACAACGTCCCCATTAGAGCGCGGCTCACAATCTCCGTCTGGTGCTGGCTGTGCCTTGTTGCGACCGGACAGGGTAAGCCATGTGCCGACCCTTCCCTTCGTCACTGAATGTCCAGGCCTAGCGTATCGGCCTCCGCGCTGGGCAAGGACGCTTCGCCCTGCCCGCTTCTCGAAGCTTGCAGACAGCTAGGAGCTATGTCCGATGCGAGGAAGATAACTCTCTGTTGTCGCTGCTTCACAAGCATAGAAGTGAGCACTCCGGTCCGCACTCCTTTTCTTGGACAAGCGCAGGGTTGCATTAGCTCCAGCAGTTCATTGCCGCTTCCTCCGCGCCCAGACCCACGACTTTGGCAAGGCATGCCTGTTCTACTCGTGCGGTGATCATCCCTCGCGGGACTGGGGGTGAGCATTTACAGACGGGCAAAACTTGTGTGACCGAGTAGTCGTGACCCACCTTCCTAAGCCGTGCTCTGGAGCGCCTTGGCAAAAGGTTCTGACCACCGATTTGCAACTCGAGGCTCCATTCGCCGCTGTTGCCAACTACCGGTGGTGAACAGGTGGCGCCCACTGCCACCCAGGATTTTCCACTGCGAATCCGGCATTAAGCTTTGCGAAGCCGACATTCGCGAATGACGGCTGTGGGAGGGCCAGCTAGGCCAGGACTATCCAACGGCCCCAAACTATCCAGCTCATGTGATGTCGACTGTGGAACAGGAAGCCCCTCCCAACAGCCATTATGGTACAGGCTCATGTACAGGTGCCGATGAAGCTCATTGCTGGCCCTGGCCCGGTGGCAATGAATAGCTGGAGGTATACGTCGCCGGAACCTGTGGCAGCATCCACTACTTCGGAGAAGTTCTATGATTTCGCGGGCGGAACTCGCACAAGAGAGACCCACAATGTGAGAATGAGAGCAATTGGTGTGATGATTTAGAGCCAGTTCGGCAGTATGCAGTCAAGCAGCCGTGACCACTGGTGCGGATGCAGCAGGTGCAATGTGCACAGAGCCGCTGGGAAACTGGGCCGGCAAAGTCGTCGTGTAGACCCGGGAACCTGTCACCAGAATGTCACAGAACTCGGGCCAGTTGCTTGTTGCTATAAACGGGTGCCTGGACTTGCGACAGGCGGGGATGGGTATGAAGGCAGCTGGGTGGTGAAGGCAGCTTGCGGCGATGCTGGCGCTGCTAAGTAGGGAGTCGCCAAATACTGTCCTGAAGTGGCTGAACGCTGCACAACTGCCGATTTGCAATGGCATGTACTGCTGACATGGCAATCATGTGCCCCCTGTCCAGAGGTCGAAATCGCAGAGGCCGAAGTTTGCAGCGGCAAGGATCCCGATTGAGCCTCAGAAGGGCTTGCCAGGTGGCAGGCCACCATCGGAAGAATGCTTTCTACATGCCAGTCCAAGATCCAAGCCCCTGTCAAGGCCCGTCACCACTTATGAATGCAAGTCGCAGACTGTGGCAGCTGCAAGTTCAGGTTTGGCATGGGCAAATGCGGCTCATCAAGGCCCGCTATCTTGATGGAAGCGCCTGCACACAGTACCATCGGAAGCCCAAACGAGCGACGGCCTCTGCAGCCCGCACACATGAATCCCTCAAACATGCCTGAATCCTTCTGAAAGCCTCCGCTCGCTGTTTCTCCAAACCCGAAGCTACATCTCCGGGACGAAGACAAGGATCTAAGCCATCATACAGAAGCTGCCTGTCGATGCCAGGCGGTCCGGCATAGCTTGCCCGGCCATCGGCGGATCCGGTGGTGGCGCCTTGTGACACAAGGAATGGCGGCTCCGTGGTATAATGTTGCAACTATCCCCAAGTTATGGCCCAGAACTATCCCATCGGGGGCACTGGCGATGTTTCTGACGTCCTATGCGCATGCATGCGCACGCCTCTTACTTTGGTAGATGGCTGGCCGAGACCAAATTCGAATTCATCAAACCGGAATCTCAAAGATAATCAACCAGTGAGTCTTGCCAGTGCGCCAGAGCACAATTCCTAGAAAGCCTTGGCTCATACCGGGGGCTCCATGCAACGTTCCTTCAAGCATATAGGGTTTCCCCGTTCTGATTTCAAGCGGCGAGTTGGGCCCTCAGCCGTCAGAGAATCCACGGCCTCGTATGCCATGACGCCCCGCGAAGGTGGGCCGCCGTACTCACCGTAGCCGGCCATGCCGGGATCCTAAGAACTGTGAAATGCACATCAGCTAACGAGATATAGAGCCACTCGGCACCTCGTTGCTAAGCTTGATTTGGCAGACGTGGTGCAGGATTTCACTTTCCTCACCATGTCCTCCCTCGAACACTACCGCTCATCACGTCGAAGCAATCACCTGAAAGAAATTGGAGGCAAGGTCTCCTCCTGGTAGCCAGCCTGCCCACGCGGCGGCGGGATGTCCTCGAATGGCGGCATCTCCTGAAGGTGTATAGATCAAACCGCACAGTGCTACATGACTCAGGGCTAGTCATCGTATTCGTGGACATGAAGGCAGAGACACAGTGAGAGAGCGAGTGAGCAAGGGAGGGAAGGAAGGCGGGATGGAGCGGGAGAGAGAAGCGCACACGCACAAATCTATGTATCTGGCTTACCTACGTGTCTCGAAGTACCCATCTATCTACACATACATATTATCATATTCATGCATGCATGCTCTTAGCTACTCCCCAACATTCATGTCACAGTATACTCGTATCACAGAACATCATGTTCCATCACACCTGACCGCATCACGTCACATCATAATATCATACCAAACCTGTTTACCTGTTCAATCGGCAGACACTCAAACACACGCACACACACACATACACACACAAACACAACCTGACACACGCACAGGCAGACAGCCACCAGACAGACATCCATCCGTCCGCCCACACACACACACACACACGCACATCCCTGTGCAGGTAAGACATGCATGAGTTGCCGCTTATGCTGATGTATATGTATCAGCCCGGAGAACCGCCAGTTTGGACTAGATCGATCCACTGACTACCAGTGAAGTGATGTCTATACTATCGCAACACGGAAGCATAGGAGAGCATGCAGCTGCCTCGTCGTGCTCTTCATCATCGTCATCATTTTGATCTTCCTGCATGGAGCTTGCGGCAATGCACCAGCCCAGAAAATGGATTTCAGCATTAGAACCCAACAAAAGTGAAGCCCTAGGGACAGAGTCACACAAACAGTAGAGCACCCTCACACGATGGCTTCATAGAAGGATGACAGACTATCAGTAAATATCAGTGAACAGTGTCACCACTGGGTCTGAGTATACTGTGTGCTGGGCTGCATGGCACCAGAACCTCCTCTCGTTGTGAGGGCAATTGCTTGATGCACTCCTTCAGCATCTCAGCACGGCGATTGCCCCCACGTCGCCGATAGCCTTATTGCGGTCGACGCCGTGTCACACGACTGGGGCAGGACTTTTCGCAGCAATCCCTCAAAGGCGACGCCGATGTTTCTTTTTCAGTTGCCGGGATGCGCTTCTAAAATTGTGGACGTCTTCACGTATCCCCTGCTTAACAGGGGGACACTTGTAAAGCTGGAACTTGCGCACAAAGGGCCTTCGGCCCCTGACATGGACTGTTGAATGTTGGATAAAGAAATGTGACTGGTCAGGTTTGCAATGTCTTTAGTGACTTGCGCAGGTCCATGTTTCTCACAGCCATCAGCTATAGAGCATGGAGACTGCGTCCATAGGGGTGGCCCAAAACACCCAAGGAGACCGTGCCGGTGGTGGGAGGTTGGATGTTGCCCACGGAAGTATCGTCGCCCACTCGATTCGATGAGCTGCGAAGGATCAAGCGGTTTGGCCTGAAGAACAGCAGCAGGTGGAGCTTGCCAGCGTGCGTCTTTGCCACCTCCACACGACCTGAAATTCTTGAATGCTGATTGCTTCCGCAGTAGATTTTGATCCTGCGAAAGTGCAGGATCATGTTGTTGGCGGCATCTTCTGAAGCTCCATGGAATACATGCATTAGCATGTGGAGACCCTTTGTTCCAAATAAGTTTCCCAACTCTGCTCCAGCAAGATGTGCCACGGTGGGCGATGCAGCCATCACGTACCGGCCGGTCATGTCGATAAGCAGAAAGACAAGGTCATCCGTGGACATGGTAGACGCTTTTAGGCTGGACACTGTTCGATGTTCACATTCTGAATCACTGAAGCTCCTGCCATCATCCCTCTCTGCTTCCTGCCAGGTAGACGAAGCAACAGAATCCGGGAGCCCCTCACCTGTGGAGTCGGTTGCGTGTGAAGTGTCCATGGTATCGAAAGCTTTCGGCCCCGCCAGAGACGCCTGGTCAGTGAAGTCCCGCAACCCAAGCAGATGATGGACTTCGCCGTCGGCTTGCCTGTATGTGACCCGGAACACCTCCGTCCGGAACTTGCTGGAGCAGCTGTCGACGAGGCGAGTGTGAAAGACATTTGCAAGAATACTTTCATCTTCCGAAACCGCGGAGATCTCCGTACCACTAGACATCGAGCTAGTCCCTGCCAAGATCTCATAGGCACGTGTGGCTTCATGGCTCGTTGGAATGAGGTCGGTGAATTTCAAGCCTTGCACAGAGCCAGGCCGATCTCGCAGTAGCATGGCTGCCAGCTGAGGAGAGTTGTCTGTAATGCGGAGATCTGAGTCGAGCTCAACAAGTGCATCGCATGTCAGGCGCAGCAAGGAGGAAACTGCGCCGAGTTGGGTTGTGATGCTCTTGTACCGTGCTTCATGACGTACTTTTTGATGTAAAAGGCCGTGCAGAAGAAATGCCGTGCCAATGGTTAATACAAGATTGAGCACCTCGCCGCAGAGAATCGTGTATGCTGAATCGAAAATGTCGCATTCTGGAAAGGCCCCATGGGCTTTCCTACGCCGCTCTCTTCCCAAAGGTGCTCCACCAGGAAGTGCACTGGTGCTCACGACCATGAGGACAGTGATGCCAAGGTTGCAGACGACTACAAGATACGTCCTGGATGCTAGCAGAATTGCAGGGAGCCGTATACAACCGAGAAGCGCGAAAGATGCATTCAGGGTCTGCGCAGGTGTCACGCACCAAGGAGACAGGTAAATGGCGCAAAAGGCCATGTGTAGAACATAAAATGCATCCATTGTGGATGTAAGCAGAACTCTTGGAAAAAACATATAGGCTAGGTTGACCAAACAAAGTGCCAGGGTTGTCCAGTAGGCACCAGCCAGCAGCCAGCCGTGCTCCAATGCACTGAAACGGGCAGCTACCAAAATAAACTGTGACACCACCACACACGCGATCATGTAGTAGGGTGCCATTCTCATGCGCTGCTGGCGAACTGCTTCCACCCGGGCCGTTTCCTCTTTGCTTCTGCTGGAAAGTTGTGGTTGACGCATGCAGGTGCAAACGGCGTGTGCCGTTTTCTCAACTTTGCCTTTGATGACCTGCCTGTGCGAGAACACTAAGCAAAGAACCCTGATCCCGAAAAGGATATTCACTGCAAGTGCCAAGAGCGCGAACTGCTGCACACCGGGGCTTGTCTCCATGGGCTACCGGCTACGCAGTTAAATCTCCCGAAAACGCGCAGATTGCATCGCCGAGCTCACTGCTGCTCCTATTCGGGATCTTGGGCCGGTCGCGGGATGCCATGATGCCACGCGAACAGGATTGCCTTCCTTGGCCTCCTGCCTTACCACCTGCAGCTTCCTCGACGCTTCTGCAGGCAAGGGTCTGTAGATCGCCAGGCCACAGCATGCTCCAAGGAGAAGCAGCACCAAAAGCGAAATGACCTCGGCATTCCGCTCTACCATTCAGACTTGGATGCCTGCCGAACTTTGGCCAGAAGAATGCGATAGCCGCACAAGACCTGGGCCTGCCGGGACGACGAGATCTCTCTGGGGCTGCGGCCCAGGGCAGCCAAGGCTTTGCTTGACAAGCGCCGCTGTTGCGAAACTCCATCACGTGCAAAGCAATGCCTCAACGCGTCACTCCCTCGAATACACTCGGATTGCCAAAAGGATCCAAAAGGCTTCAGGACTGCTGCATGTCCAAATGCTCTCGAATATCTGAACAATCTCCAGCCTTGATGTGCGCCCTCAGCGAAACGGCTAGGAGGATGCCGCAAGTCACACATGTCCTTGGCTATAGAACCTAAATCAATTCTCGAGCTGGACTGGCGATGAGCTCCCAAACTGACATCGCTGTCTCGTGCCCAGAAGCTAAGGGGCAGTTAAGTGAGATCCGAACGTGTGGCAACAGAAGATTATCGGACGAGAATACGGACAAGGTCAAGCAAGGGTCGAAACACGCTTGTCCGGTGTCGCTGGTGCCAGAGACCACGCACATGCCCTGGCCACTGTTAATCTTGAACCTGTGTCGGATCTCGTCGCTGCACAGCTCGCCTGCGGGCAGGGCTGTCAACTGTGCGAAGTCTGATGTAGATTTCGCACTAAACTAGGCCAACCTTTATGGATGCTACTGGTACCCTGCGCCAGCCTGGTGGACACTTTTGCATGGAGTCTTGCAGGCCCAGTTCTCTCGGGCAGGTAACATTGTTGTTCAGTCCTGCCCGCACCTGAGCCACCATAGCCTGGCAAGTGATCCCCTACCGCGTCTCTTCTGGCACTCGTGCCGGATCCCAAGAGGCCTGGGAGATGTGGTTGGCCAAGTCACCCTCACCGTTGCCATTGACTGTGTAGTCTAACGGCTGATGGTTCCTGAAGTGACGCAAGCATAGGCGTGGTCGCCACCGCACTGCCACGCCTAAACGCAAGGCGGCAACTGAGGCAGCCCTACCATCTATGTCTATCTGCGTACCCGGGTGAGGGCCGCATTGCGGGCAAGTTTCGGATTGCAAACATCATAACCTCGCCGCACTCACCGAGCTTAGAAGTGAAGGCATGTGAAGCTTCGCTTCCGAGTTATGAGTTTCGCATCACAGGACACCGCGGCCGCCAGGCAACACGCTGAGCCGGGGCCCTCTTCGTCTGCTGGCATTGAGACCGTGGAAACACAGAAGCCACGATTTGGGAAGTTGCCTTGAAGCTGACAAGACCTCATGAGACAAGCACATAGGGGCTCATCAAGTCATGTGCAAGCCGCGTCTTCAAACCTCAAGGGTGGCATGTGAGTACGAAACGCCTATGCAACATCAAGTTTGCGAATTCTCATCATCCCAAGTCGAAGATATCAGCAGGGAAATGTGATATGATACCACATGGGCTTTGGAGGCCACGCGTGGCTATCCACAAGCTGCATGTGTAAGAACAAGTGGTCTGGACGTGGCACACTGTACCATCGTATGTATTCCTGAAGGAAGGAGAATCTCCATCCTCTGATCATGATCCAAGGCGCTTCATAGTGATACACTGCCCCGGCACATCCGGGCTGTAGTATTGCGTCAGCGACGAAGAATTCACCGTGGTCGCACCTCAACAGGCCCAACTGTCTGCATCTATCCACAACAATGCACTAGTGGACATACCCCGGACACGCCAACGGCAGGATGCGAATTTGCAGGCCTTGCCCATTGCTTGGCAGAGCCAATGCCAAGATCCACAGGGCCCTGGGCGAAAGAAGTGTGGCGAAAAGTTGTTCTTGTCTGGCATGCCTTTCTCCCAAGAACTATGCCTCGGGCATGCCTGCAGTGTCTGAACACTCCACTAACTGCAATTCGAACATGGTCCATGAGTTGGCCCAATTTGAAACCTGGATCGATTCACCCAAGGCGCCACTGTCTGGCTAGGGGCCTCTGGGCGTCCCCCATGTCTCTACTTTGGCCCTGCTGTCAGGGCACTGCAGATTCCCATTTGAGCTGTAAGCGGCGGCGGGCAGGTGAATCAGGACCACGATCGCTTTAAGGGCGGCTCAGATGCGGCGAACTAACGAGACGCTGAGAGTTTCCCACCCAACCTTCAGGGCCGCCGCCACAAGGAACGGCAACCTCGCCATCTCCCGGCGTAAAGCAGTCAAAGTCTCGCCCTGGCGGCTCAGCACGACTGCAAGAGCAAGAGTCTGGGGCCGCCTCCTACATGTCTGATGCTCCTCACCTTCTCTTTGACATCGCTGCCGTGGTGGCGGGGGTGCTCGTCTTCTCGCTCGTCGCAGTGGTAGTGGTCGTGGTCGCGGTGGTGGTCGTGGTCGTGGTGGTGCTGGTGGTGGTGGTGGCGGTGGTAGTGGTACTAGTTACTAGTAGTAGTGGTAGTAGTAGTTGTAGTAGTAGTAGTAGTAGCAGCCGTAGTGGTAGTAGAAGTAGCAGTAGCCGGTCGCAGCAGCAGTTGCCGTTTCAGTAGCAGTAGCAGGAGCTGCAGCGGCACGAGGAGCAGGAGCATCACTCAGCAGCAGTAGCAGTAGCTGAAGTAGTCGCAGCAGCAGCAGCAGTACTGGCAGCGGTAGCGGTGGTGGTAGGAGTCGCTCTTGTAGTCTAGCAGTAGTAGTAACTTAGTAGTACTGGTCTAGGGCATTGGTCCCGGTTCCAGTATGTTCTACTAGTACGAGACCCAGTAGTCGTCGTCGTGGTGGTGGTGATGGCGGTGGTGGTCTCGCAATCATACTACTAGAAATACTAGTCGCAGCACTGACAGCAGGAAACATGCCCAACATGAGCCGAATTTGGCAATGCTATTGATACACCCACGGCTGGGACGTGACCAGCTTTGCAGCGCAAGCCTTGTCATGAAACGGTGAAGTTGCCGGATCTGGTGGAAAGACCGAGGCTTTCGTTGCTGCTTCCAACTTTCGAGCTCCATGCTGATAAGGCGGTTCGGGATTCATCCCTACCGTGCCTGAATTTCCACTTCGCTCCGCAGCATCGCCACATCTGCCTCACAATTGCACAGCAAAGGTACGCCTCATGCGAAACGAGAAGGCCAGGCCATGACCCAAAAGATGTCATAAAGCCTTTACATGGTGCAGATCTGTAGCCAGGAAACTATAAGCCGCCTCTGACGAGCATCCTCGTCCTTCGGGCACCAATCAGCCACAAACAGCCAAGAAACCAAGCAGCACGTGCCCAGCCCGATTCGAAACCAAGGAACTGCACCCACCGAGCCAGGAGCCAGGACAGAGTTGCGTAGCATGACAAGAGCAAGGACATGCATGACCACAGAGATGAGAAACTAACTAACAGCAAGCCACGGCCGCAACCAAGGACTCCGAACCCAAAGCTCAGTAACGCTCACACTAGCACAAACGAGAGGCAAGGTTCATGGGCAAGAACATCTTCACTCCCACCTGGGAACCCCTGCGCGACCTGCTCAAGAACCCGCTCCAAAACAAACTGCCGCACTCCAAAGAAACAACAACTCACGGTTGCAGTTACAGTACAAAGAGTGGTGAGGCAGCCAGCTCCTCTGGCCCGGCACTGAGCAAATGTGTTGAAGGCGGTAGGAGCGGCTTTCGGCCTGCGCTGCTGTCTGAGTTCCTTGGCGGCTCATGCTGTAAAGTCGAACTTCGAACCATTCCGAAAGCCGGCCGCCGTGGGCTAAGTCTTCAAGCAGGGCATGAGCCAAGACTGTGCAGCCTCGATTCTCGTGGAGAACGGAACACATAGACACAGAACCCATTCCTTCGCTGATGGCGGTTGAAGAGCAGCTTGATCTCAAAGAGTTCCGGCCTCGCGAAGAAAGGAGCCGAGGCGAAAGCCGCCGTTCAGGGGGACTTTTCTCTGCAGCTGTGCGGCCAGGCACCAGGAGACCCGAGCTGTCTGCCTTCACTGCCTCGTCCTTGTTGGTCTTGTCAGCCTCAGTCTGGAGGAACTCTGCATTCAGTTCTCTCAACAAAACCATTTGACGCCTTCGCTGTGCCTGACATGCGGCTTTCCGAAGATAGAAGCGACACAGCTTCTGCATCCGGCGAACTGCCAGAAGACCTGGAATACAATGGGAGGAAATTGATCTGTGTTGGACCATGCTTCACCTCAACAAATGATGCGATCAGGCAGCGGTATGTGAGCATACGGGTGTGGTTTGCATGCAGCCAACAGCGATGAGACTCGCGTCGATTAGCCTCATACTTCCAAGCTGCCGCATACCTGAGCTGCTACTGAGTCCGCGTGTTGCCGTGACAGTGTCTTCATGCTGCTGAGATCGCCTTTCATGTGCAGAGTGGTAACTATTTGAGAACCAAAGACGGGCATGTAAGAGATTGACCGGTCTTATCTTCAGGACAGGAACTGAGGGAAGTCACCGCACAGGCGTTGGTAGTGGTCCTTCTGCAAGCGCAAGACTTGCCCTCCTTGAGGCGTTTCGCAGCGCGCAGTGCTTCGCCGAAACCTTTGCAAGAGCTCCCTTTCCACACATGGAGGTTCCGGTCGCAGCAGAAATGGAACAACATCTCTTTCAAGCAGCTGCTTCGTACCGGTGTGCAGCTCATAATTTCCAAAGTAACCTAGGTTGCACTGGCTGCTGAACGAAGTCGACAGGCAGGATGTCCCACTTTCTTGTTTCAGGAATCACGGCGCGTTGTGCTGGCCTCCACATACAACATCTGCTGGCGCGTATGGCCTCTCGAACACTCCCGTGATAGCCTCATACGACTGAGTGCCGCAAGCCACTCGCGTGCGAGAACAACTGGTAAGGCCACATATCCTGAGCAGTGCTGCAAAAACAAATGTGCTACCATGGTGCGTGAATCCTGCAAAAATGCCTCCTTCGCTGCCAAGGCGCGTTTGCTTTGGGGCTCTTGCTGTGACGCTCGGGCCGTGCGACAAAAGCAAAAGTGCCGCTCAAGACGAGGTAAAGGTGGGAGGCTGCATCTCCTGCAACACGGTTCAAGGGGGTTGGAGTCTAGGGTGCCAATGTCCAGGTCCTGCTTGGAAGAGGAGCTGGTTTCCCTCATACTGTTTGGACACCAACGCGAGCGACAGCAGCATGGGCAGCCGCGGTGGCATTGAAGAGACGAAGGGGACGCGAAGAAACCTGACATTGACTTATCCTCAACACCAGAGGTTCTCTTGAAACCGCAAGGCCATAAGGCCTGGCCTGCTGCGTGTAAGCTGACCATTGAAGAGCCGGGAGTGTAGATCTTTCCTCAGCCATAGGACCTCCCTCCTTTTGCACACCTTTCACTTTCACCTTTCTGTCGCTGCTGGAACCCCGACGAGGACTTCATTTCAGAAAAGCCTCATCAGGTGCAAGGGCATATCATTGGCAATCAGCTGCAGCATCTCATCCATCTTGTACTGCTGCCCCATCAAATCGCGGATGTTTTGCTCCAACCAGAAGGACAACCTCTGCAGGGGGCCGTCTCCAACCGTCCGGCCGGACTTCCGCTCCCAAGTGCAGGCGAGTGGCGCTTTGGAGCCCGAGGAATCCAGCTGTGCATGAACCGCAAACTCTTTCGCCAGCTTCAACTTGTTCTTCAGGAATGCGTTCACCTCCGCACAAGTCGAACATGACCCTCCTTCAAGCGGCTCCATGGCTGTCTCAACCAATGTCTGGTCGAGGTTCCGTACTGTCGCTGGTCACCTCGTTGATCACCTTGGCGTGACATTTGAAGGGCAAGAAGCTTCATACAGCGGGATGTGCAATGCACTTTGCCTGGCCAATGATGATGCTGTGGACGACAGCTCCGACCATCATGGTCAAGGTCACATACATAATCTCGCCGGTGGTGAATGCCGAGATATCACCTCTTTTTCGGTGGTGCGAAAACCTCAACCTGGAAGCCCTGGAATCGGACAGTGGCTAACCACATGCACCAAAACATCAAATAGGAGCCGTCCACTTGAAAGCCACAAAATCCTGCAGAAAGGGGGCCGAAGCCGACGGTCGTGAAGACCTGGGCGCCAACAAAGGGGTTTCTTTGGGCACCAGGCCTTCAGCAGGGGATCTAAGCGACTTGCTATGGCAAACGGCCTGCATCACCTGGGCCTAGGCCTCGGCCCCTTTGTCCCTTTCGGCCCTGATGCTGAGAAAATGAAATACATAGCGTGCGCCCACTGGTCGAAGGGATCCCCTTGCAGCAGCATCTCCTGAGTGCGAGGCGAGGCAGAGCGTCAGAGCGCCCCAGATTCCAGCAAAAGCCTTCACAAGCCTAGCATCCTCGTTGATGCCCACCAGCCGGCGAGCTAACCAGGTCTCCAGCACATCCTCGTGCAAGGTGGCGCAAAGATACCAGCCACAGGCCTCAAATCCAAAGCGAATGCCAGCATGGAGATGAATTCGGCATTCGTGCTTCAAGTGACGGCTCCTGCTGCCAAGCGGCCATGACGTGCACCACCCAGATCAGCCCAAACAAGGTATTCAACACCGCGACAACCTTATACCGCTGGATATAGGTGTCAAGATTAAGCCGCTCTGTCAGCTGCGTGAGCTTCCTCAGTTGCACAGCCATCATTTCGACATTGATCTCACTGCGGCACGCAGACATCTTAGGCATGTTTCGCGAGCCGCAGCATGCGGACGATCTTGGTCATGCGCTGCATGCGCATAAGCCTTTGCTTTGGCGAGACAGCGGCTGCTTCCAACTCCCGATCAACGAAACCACACAGGTGACAGGAAAGGCAGGTGCAGTTCTCAATCTGCGGCATGCATGCACAGAAAAGAGGACTGACCTCTTCGCCTATCACTGCTTGGTTGACCCCCAAAGAGGACCACCATGCCACCGAAGCGCCGAACGGTCTTCTGACTGTTGTTCGCCTCAGGTTCGTACGGCTAACTTCAACGGTTTTCGCTCTGAGGGTCGCTGCCTCGATGCTCTCCTCCCCAGCGAAAAAAGCGTAGAAGGCACTGGCGGCCTTGGAAAAACTAAAACTGCTCAGATTCTTGCATTCAGAAGAGCGAGCTCGCGAACACAAGAAGGAGACTGTTTTTTACTTCGAAGCTTCATCCTCACAGCAGGAAAGAAACTCTGCAGCCACTACATGAGACGGTGGAGACGTGGATCTCCGAAGTAAAAGTTGCTTTGCAAGTCTACTTCATGGCTTTTCATGGTCATCTTCGTTGGGACAAAGCCTCTGCCATCTTCCTGGAGGAAAGGCCACCGGGACACCAGGATGGCCCCATTTCCGCCTGTCGCCCCATGCTTGCATCACGGATCATGACCTCCGTCACATCAAGTCTTGACTTCCCGACCATCGAGTTGAAGCTGTTGCGTTGCAAGCTGTGTTCGTTTGGCCGCCAGCAGAAAGTTGTTCTGGAGTTTCGGGAGTTGGCACTGGCACTGGCTGCGTTGACCCTGCACTTGGCGGACATGGGCCGAGAGGCTTGGGCCGCTTGGCTCTCTGGCGGCGCCTTAGGTGTGGGCCTCGCTCGGGCGGAGAATGGCTGAGGCAACTCTTCCGGGACCTTCTCACTGACAGGTGGGCTCACAGGCGTCCCCGATGTCTCGGTGCTCTTCACTGGTGATGCCCAAGGCAACTCAGTTGAGTCTAAATGGAGAGGAGCCACTTGCGGCAGCATTGGTTTGACTGCTTTGGGGGTTTGCACTGGGTCAGCCGGCGATGGCGATGGTTCCAGGAAGGCTTCGGGAGCTGGCTCTGAACTCTTGGCATTTCGGGTGTTCCGTGCTTCCTGCAAGCGCAGCGGCAGCTTGTCACTCGTACCCTGGCGTTTCGCCAAAACTTCCGCGAGCTGCCGCGAGACCAGGCCAGACGGACACCAACTTGGTCCCATCTCCGCTTGCCTTCCCATGTTGCTGTGTCTCATCATGACCTCTGTGACGTCGATCTTTTGACGACCCACGATGGAGTTGAAGCTGTCTCGGGCAAGGCTCACTTCATTCGCCCTCCAGCATGTCGTCACTTTCCTTCCCTTCTGCATGCTCTGCGAAGGGAGGGTTCTACCCCTCAGCCCACAGGCTCAAAAGCGGCACACTTTGGGCCCTCTTGAGCCAATCTGGTGGCACGGCTTCAGCTCACCTTGCATCTACCACAAGACTCAGAACCACAGCAGCTTCACAGCTCCAATTGCGATGCTATCCTGTGGGCCGCTGGCATCCTCTGGAATGCAGGAGATCCTGGACAAGATCGTTGACGCAAAAAAGACTCTAGCCCGACACAAGAACTTCATTCTTCATCGCGGCCCAGTAGCATATTCACCCAAAACCAACCGGTGAGATATCTGCAAGCAATCTTCCTCGGCGAACCTACCTGCCGTTGCACGAGGTCACAGAGCTGGGAGGGAGCATGAGTTGGTAAGAAAGCAGCCTGAGCCATTACATCATGCAAACATGCACCCCGGCCTCTTTTCCTCTCCTAAGTACAGTACAAACATCTGCGTGCATCTGGCTTCAAGCCAAGAACGATTCTCGCCCCTGAGTCTCATGCGACCCTCCCTCTCTCTGTGTCATGCCTGCCGAGGGACTCGTTGGTGTAAGTGAAAAGGAACTGAATCCACAGGTCGACTATGAACATGACATCCACCATGCCATCGAAGGCGATCCAGACGTCTGTTTCCTGCATGCCAGCAAGTGTCGACAGCTAGCAGCCGCGTCGTGTGTCCCGCGCCACATCTTCACAAGTCGCGCTACAATGTACTATGTCACCATGTGTCGGGGTGTCGCTCTGTCATCTCTTTGCAACCAAGCACAGGCACCTGTACATCGCCACTTGGATACACGATATGAACTTGTGACTGGCGCTCGAAACACAATGGCATATGCCGTTTCGGCACAAGCTCCATCATACTCAAGACGGTGAGGCAGGAAAGGGGTGTACACAGAGTTCCGAAAAGTCTCTGCTAGCTCGATTGCTACCTGCATCAATACCAGCAGAGCTTATGCATCTGCACAGATGACTTCTGCTCTGGAGCTGGCATCTTCTGTGTCCGCTGTTGAAACATCGTCAGCATAGTGATCGGACACAGTCGGGGAGCACTTTGTGGGCTGGCAGGTCTCTAAGCGGTTCGTGGCAACAGCCTCGGTGAGCCAGTCCAGACCCTCATGTACTCCCGTTCCTGTCTTTATGCTGCTTTCTTGCACATGCCACTTGCGCTGAAGCGTCATCAGCCCGAATAGATCTGACAACTCATTCCCAGAGAGAGCCCAAGGCCTATCCTGCTTGTTTGCATAAATAAGAATGGGCTTGTCCAGAAGATCTTCCTCCTTCAGTAGATCTTCGAATTCGTTGTGGCTTTCCTCGATTCGTCTCTTGTCTGTGCAGTCAACGACAAAGACCAGTGCATCTGCTTTCTTGTAGTACTGTCGCCAAAGTGCCCGAGCCTGCTGCCGACCACCCAAATCCCAAGAGACCAGTGTTGAGAGGGTCATGCTTCCATGTACTGCGCTCTCAAAGCCTGAAAGGGTCTTGATGTTCGGCATGGACATTGCCAGCTCGCCGCTCTGCATGCTGCGAAGCAACGTCCCCTTACCTGCATTGTCCAAACCCAGCACAACGATTTCACTAGGCCTTCTTTGGGAAGAGACCGCGCCCATGGCTCTGTGCGCAAGCAGAAACTCTGTTCGAAGCCGCACACGGCTGCCACGTAGAATATGGTGTGCACATGGCCTCACTGAGACGTGATACGTGATGCAATGCTGAGGGTTCTGCGCACTGTGTGCATATTACACACAGGATGCAAGGCTGGTAAGCCCTTAAACCTGAGTTACATGATATTACGTTCAATGTCGTAGCTTCCTCACAGGCCAACCGTTGAGTAGCGTCGAACATTCTTCCAGCTAAAATTTGTATTGCTTGGAAATGCAGGGCTTCGTGCCTGCACTTCCTCGCTTGCTGCGGCATAGAAGCGGATGAAAATTAACCTGTAGAGGAACACAGTGCCGATGTAGCCCAGCAGGAATACAACCTCAGCAAGCGCTGTGCAAGTGCGCCAAAGGTCAGTTGGATCAAGGCGATTTCCGGGCGAGCCACAAGAGCGGTCCAAATACGCCTCACATTGTTGTCCTTATCAGACGGATGAAGGATAATAGCTGCTGCAAGCGACGGCCAAACTCTGCACACTCCTGAACTCAGGCAGGAATCAGGGTACATGACACAGGCCGCAATGGAGCACCTCGAAGATTTCGTTCGAGTGGACGCGCGGTCATCTTCATAGCTGTCTTCGCTGGCATCCTATTCAAAAAATGCCATCAAGGCATGGTCCATACATAAAGCTCTGAGCACTGACCCCCCCCCACCTGCGATACCATAGACGCGCCCCGCAAAGCCAAAACCACATCTTCAACAGCCAATGGTGTGTCGCGGCGATCCATGGCTGCATGGCAACTCCGCGGATTTTTGTAAATGTTTCGCTTGCAAGGAATGCACAAGCATGCTTCTTCTCCAGATGGTTTAAGGGGGTGTAAGTGCGACCACGCGGAGCTGGCATCCGGCAGCAAGCTTTGAATCCTGAGCCTATGTGCTGCCCGATGACTATGACACAAACGGTCCTCGGTCCAAGCTTGGACAAAAGAATGGCTTGCCGGGGTTCTCCAAGGTCTTAGCACTCTCTCTCAGTCTCTCTCTCTCTCTCTGCCGTGCCATCATCAAGAGTCTCGCAACGCAGGGGCACGAAATCGCAGGCCAGAATATCAGGAGGCATAGCGCGAACGCTGAACCTCCTTCATCCTTCGAGCCCACTGCACTGGACAAGAACTTACAATGGTGATTCTGTCTTTCGCTTCGCATTCCCAGCAAGAATATACTTTTTGGAAACGGGGTGAGGATCTCAGCATGCATTCGAAAACAACCTGCGAGAGGGAGCGATGGCAAAACAGATTGCACGGCATTTTCAAGGGCGATACTGTACACAGCCCGTAAGCTCGAGTCAGTGACCTAAACCCATGGACTGCAAGGCGCACAACTACACAATGCACGTCTCTCTGCCCATGGCATGTCAACGTTGGCAGCCACCCCGCATCATGAGTGTGCAGTGATGACCTCTGCCCTAGCCGTAGCATCCTCGGTGTCGGCCGTGGAAACATCATCCGGGTGCTCTGGCTTGGCCAGCCTGCCCTTGGAAGGGAGCTCCTGGATCTTTTGAGGACGCGAGACTGCTCGCTGGCCATTTCTCCCATCAGCCTTCAACTGTCGTGCAAGCCATTCAAACCCTTCATAGATGCCCTGGCCTTTAGTGGCCACACTTTCTTGGATGAACCACCGTCTCTCTCGGATCTGGTTTAGGGAGAGCTTGTCCACAAGCTCTTTGTCACTCATGGCATTCGGCAGGTCCTGTTTGTTGGCGAAGACGAGGAGAGGCTTGTCTGCTAATTCATCCTCTATGAGGAGCTGGAAAAGCTGGTCCTTAGCCTCATTCACCCGCTCCCGGTCATTGCAATCGACCACGTACACCAGGGCATCCACCTCCTTGTAATAGTGTCGCCACAGTGGGCGAATTTTGTCACGTCCACCAACATCCCACGCCACCAAGGACGTGATGTTCATCCAGCCGTTCCGAATGTCTAGGTGCTCCACGTTGAAGCCTATCGTAGGAATCGTCGTGACGACCTTAGCTTGCGCTTTCGGACGACCATTTCGCGCCGTGATGCACAGAGCATCTGTTGCTCCGGCACACTGAACCCTACTCACGGCAACACGAGTGGCTTGCGATGTTCGACTCTGGTTCTCCGGAGCATGTCTGAGAACAGGCCCAGGCTTCCAGCCGTGACGTGCTCCTTTAGTTTGCAGTTGCAGGCAGCCTTGCTGGCTTTTCAGCTCCACTTGCCAGGTCGAACCGGGGGTGGCCAGAGCGACTAGGAGTGGGATCCAGACGTCCGGAATTTGGAATGGCCGCCTTTTTCTGACATTCACTGGAGGGACGTGCAAACTGACGGCCAGACGAAGGGAGACAAAAACACACCCACACAAGGAGACAAACAGGGCTATGGAGGCTGGTGCAAACATCACACTACCGTACGAGAACATGTCAATGCGAGCAGGGACAAGGAGCAAATGCGTTTCTGCAATCAGCCTGAGTTCAGGTTGACACTCGGCATCGGACCTCTCCAGCCTTGAGTGAGTAGAGCATAGTTGTCTTTCCCGAGGCGTCCAGACCCACAAGAAGAAGCTGGCGCTGGCGCTTGCCCATGAGATGAGAGGCGACTGCACCCATTGTGCACGAGAGGGCCGGCACCAGCAACAAGCCGTGGATCGTGGACTTGAGACTGAACGGCTGGAGTGCTACTCAAGAATGGGGCTGCTTGCTCTAAATCACACTGTCGGTATCCCACCCCTTGCTTCTGTCCACCCTCCCATCAGCAGGCATGAGCTGCAGTCGTTGGTTGTACTTACTTTTGTCCGTAGTTCGCTGCTGGAGGGTCGAGGACGACTTCCACAATCATCTACTCGCGGTCTCCAAGACGTAACAGTCTTTGCTTCCATCTGCCACTCCGAAGCCTGAACCCTGAACCCCAGCTTTGTTACATCTCTGTCCAGCTGCCAGGACAGCGAATGCAGATGGGCTAGTTTGCAATAATGTTTTACTGGGGGTGAGAAAGGTCGGCGCACCTGAGTTCTGCAAAACTGCGCGGGTATATCTAGCAGCACCGCTGGCGACGTGATGAGGTTATCAGTTATCAGCATGCATCGGGGGACAAGACGGGGAACAAACTGAGAGAGCGAGAGAGACAGAGAGACAGAGAGTGAGCGAGATGAGAAGTCCCTTCACTGCTTGGGTGAGGACGTGAGAGAGAGCGAGAGCGGGGGTGAGGGAGGGAGGGAGGGAGGGAGGGAGGGGAGGGAGGGGAGGGAGGGGAGGGAGGGGAGGGAGGGGGAGGGAGGGGGAGGGAGGGGAGGGAGGGGAGAACTGCCGATGGCCAAATTCATTACACACCTTTTTCAAGGGCGATGCTGTACACATCCCGTTCGCTCGGGTCATTGTCTTAAACCCACGGACTGCAAGGCGCACAACTACACAATGCACGTCTCCCTGCCCATGGCGTGTCAACGTTACGTAGTGTTACCAGCCACCCCACATCATGAGTGTGCAGTGGTGACCTCTGCCCTAGCCGTAGCCTCGTTGCTGCCAGCAGCCGAAATATGCAGGTGGCCGGGCTTCTCGCACATAATCTTGGAGAAGAGCTCCTGGATTTTCTGTAACGCTAACCGCTACTCACATTGCAGTCGAATTGGCGTGAAAGCCATTCTAATCCAGGGTTGATGCCTTTGCCTTCCATGGCCACGCTCTCCTGGATGAACCATCGTCGGTCTCCGATCTGGTTTAGGGAAAGCTTGTCTACAAGCTCTGCTACACTCATGACGTTCGGCAGGTCCTGCTTGTTTGCAAACACGAGGAGAGGTTTGTCTAGCAGCTCCTCCTCTCGCAAAATGAACTGAATCTGCTCCCTAGCGTCATCCACCCGGTCGCGATCACTGGAATCGGCCATGAAAACCAGGCCATCCACGTCCCTATAGTAACGGCGCCAAAGTCCGCGAATCCTGTCCGGCCCACCTACATCCCACGCCAGTATTGATGTGATGTTCATCATGCCACCCCGAAGCTCAAGGGTCTCCACATTGAAGCCAATCGTAGGGATATCCATGCAGACCTTAATTTGTATCATACGCGAAGGTCGAAAAAGCATCACGCAAGGAGCGGCGGGCACGAACGGACGTACAGGCACACAGAGACATCGCGGCACAGTTCGATTCTGATGGATGTTAAGACACATGCAGGAACACAAAGAGACAGCGAGAGGGACGGAGAGAGAGAGAGAGAGAGCGAGAGAAGCGTATGTACGTATGTATGTTTGTAAGTAAGTTGTAAGTATGCATGCATGTATGTAAGTGTGTGTATATGTAGACATGTACGCATGTACATACACATTCATCATCCATCCATCCACCAATCCACCAAGCATGCAGACAGGCAGACAGGCAGACAGACAGAAAGACAAAAAGACACGCCAACACACACACACACCAACACACACGCTGTCACGCAAACATCAATGCAGGCAGAGCCAAACAAAGAGAGACACAGGGGAGAGAGAGCGACAGACAAAAACGATACAAAGCAACAAAGGTATCCAAAGCCATCCAAAGTAAGAGATGAATACACAGAGTCTAGACTAGCGAAGAAGGGATTCGAGCACTGGAACCGCAACTGCCGTTTCTGTGATGTCCTGAGCTCAATGATGACATCGGTCACTAGGTATCGCACTTCGCCAGCCTTGAGTGAGTGCAGCATGGTTGTCTTTCCCGAACCGACCAGACCCACGAGAAGAATCTTATGCTCCTGCTGGCGCTTCGCGCTGAATTGAGAGGCGATCGCACCCATTGTGTGCCGGAGAGAGCTAGCAGGACTTTGGCCTTGAGGCTGAACGGCTTCTGTGGCGCAAAGACAAACTTTTAAAAAACATCTACACAAACGATACAAACTGGCCCTCTGTCCTAAGGAATGCAAGCTGCTTTTTCGCCTCCTGGCCTTTGGGAGCTCTGCGGGCAGATGCACACAGGCCATACAATTCCGCCTATCGCGTGCATGTGCTGACATCTATCCCGGGTCATAGGCCTCTCTGCACATTCAACCTGCCGAAGTGAGAAGACTCTGACGCCAGGTCCGTCAGGAACAAAAACTGCAGCACAGGTGGCTGCTTCGTACCGTGCTAACAACGAACGGGTGCAGCACGCTTGGGCGCAAACAGCGCCGGTGGGCAGCGAGTCAGCGAGCGCAGCGCGCGAGCAAGGGGCCTGAGATGGCCTGAGCAATCGACCTGCTCCGGCCTGCGCTCTGGGAACGCTCTGCGCCAGCTCTCTACCACAAGCTATCCGTCGCGCAGCGCTGCAGCTTCTGATAGGCTCGTACCGAGCTCGGCCTAGTCAAGCTACAGTAAGAGATGCTATCGGATCACCAGCATCAATCCGCAGCACGCACGGGCTGCAGCTGCGTCTAAGCAAGGAGTCTCTGAGTTGCCAGATGGCTCCTGTGGGGAAGCGTGGCTGGAGCCCATACCCGAAGATCTTCGCAAACATAGGAGCGCTGGAAGTCATGAACCAAGCTTACAATCATAATCATCGCTGGAAGGTAGTACTAGTAAAAATTTCCCCTGATCCTCAAGGATTGGGTCGGCTCCCACAGCCAGCTTTTTTCTTCCCTGCTACAACCGGGCACTGCCACTGACTGTAATGGCCACATCACACAGTCTTTCCAGCCTCTGAGCCAGTGAACGGTCAGTGTGTGGTGAAACATCTTGAATTAGAAGTCTTGGGAGTGGAAGCATGTAGCAGATGTAGGGGAAGATATGTTTTTAGATAGCCCAAAGAAGGGCAAACGGGCGTCATGGCCTGGCTCGGACCCCTTTCATACCACAGCTGGGCACAGAAGTGATCCTACCGCCAGGTTCAGCCGGGCTCGTCCACTTCTCCGACAAAGTCCTGCTGCAGACCCGGCACACATGCGAGCAGCACTGTTCATGTTCATTCTTGTCGCTCCCGTGCTGCCAATCACAAGCGAAAAGAAGCCAACTGCGCGCTGCCAGTGCCTGTCACGGCGGGGTGGCAGCAGTGTCATGGGCCATCGCTCACATTTGCACAATGGCACAGACGTCGACCCTGCGTGGAAACCAGCTTGAATTCACGAGCACTCAGAATCTCTTGACTTTGCTAGCGTCATGTTGCTCGTTGCCTGTTGGCAGGTTTTTTGGATTTTGGGCTGTGCCTTTGGCCACAGCATCGGGGCCCCCATTGGCATGCACGCCTGTATATGTGCTGATGTCCTTAGCTTTCCAGGTGGGAGCCAATGTATACATGCAGCCCGGTTATGTGCGGCTGAGTAGCATCATGGAAGCGTACTGACTCGGTTCGCGTGCCGCACAGCTGAGGACCAGCAAACTGCCTCACACCACAAGGCAGAGTGCAGCTGTGGGCTATGGGTGTCCCTGCAAAGCGAAGCAATTTTGACACTTGAGGGCTGGTCTTTCAGCTTTCAGAGACAAGACCCAGAACCGATTCACAGCGCGAAACGAAGGAGGTTCCATCAGGCTGTGACGGGTCACTGCTACATCCGTCGCCGTTCTCAAGACCTACCGGCTTCTCTCAAACTTTACGTATTTGCCTGGTTCGGACCGGACCGTTGAGGCCACGGCGCTTCCCTCCGGCTGGGATGACGACTGTTTGACTTGTTGGGAAACTCTTCACTTCGATGACGGTTGCTTCAGTTGCTGATTTCGCCGCAACATCCGAACAACACTGTCACTGTGGTTTGATGTCAGCCCATGCAAAGGTTGTGGCCGACTCAGCGATCTCTGTGGAGAGGCTCCATCTGCTATGATGCTGCATGATTGCAGCCTGTGAACTTAGGTAAAAAGTCTGCCATCGTAGCTAGATACCGTTTAAATCATGCTGCTGTCCTCGAACTCAACGAGCTAGCTTAAATCTTTGTACTTCGGACTGTCGTTTGTAAGCTGACCCCTCGTTCGAGCTCCATCCCGCCTGAGCAGCTACACAGAACGCAAGCACTGCGCAAGCAGGAAAATCTATCGCGAATGCACACACCGCAGTTACTTGTGGTTGCTGCAGATTCACAAAAACAGAATGCAAGCTACCACAGGTCTCTCCAGGCCTGGCCACAGCTTCAAAAATGTCGCCGGCTTCCACGTTCTTCTTCTCCTCATCTTTCTCCATCTTTGTCTATCCATGCTATTCAACAGTCGTATCTCGCACCAGCAAGGCAAATGCAGCCAGAGGGTCTGCCACGATCAGCAAAGCAGCCTTGAACTGCAAGAAGTCGATCCTCCGAAGGCCTATCACGTGGCTGAGCTCATGCTCCTGCCCTGCTTCTTACCGAACCGCCAGCCTTTCGACACGACTTTGGCGAAAGTCAAGTCAGCATCCTGCGGTTCCAACACGGAGCAGTATTGCGCATTCGTCGATGGTCGTCATCATGGACATTGTGTAAGTTCGTACACTTCTTTGTCTGGGCACAAGCACGCATGCTGGTTGTGTCGGTTTCTGGGTGGGACTGGTTGTGCTTGTTCGAGCACTAGCGCGCGTTTTTTGACAAATCCAGAAAGCAAAGGAGAGCCCTCCACGTTCAAGACGGTAGGGATCGATGTTCCTTTCGCGAGCTGCAGCCCTCAGCCCCGATGTCTTTGCGGACGCACAGACGGATCAACAGCAACCCCCTTCCCACATACCATTATACAGAAACAAATGCAGTGCGGAACAAAAAATCCGGCCCCAAACAGGTCGCGAACAATTAAGCACAGACTGCAAGCACATTTCATGGGGAGCTGCAAGAAAACGCCAAAGCTATCCTCCCGTGTTTCCGCAGACACGCCAGCCAGCCAACAGAAGGACCCAATCCGATTCAATTTCTGCAGCCCGTCCGTTGTCGTGAACCTGGTGCCCACGATCTTGCTATCCTTCATCAGCTTGGCGAAACCTTTACCATCCATTTCCTCAGGCAACAAAGCACGCCACGAAATCTTACCAATACCCGTTCCATCGAGTTGCTGTTTGACCGGGGCTGCAGTATGCTTCAAAGACGTTCTCCAGGAGACCACAACCCTGGCAAGTGAGCAGGATCCATGACAAGCACGCGACGACGAGGATGCACATGGATGCGAGTGCCGCGCCTCTCTGCGACCGATTGTTGCGGCTTTCTCAAGGGGAGTCAATGGCCGTATCCACCCATTGGATCCTGTTCCTCAGCTTGACTCCGGCTCGAGGGCTACACCCGCCGGCCCCTGCGCAAGGAAGCAAAACACGGATACCCGCAATAGAACAAAGAGAAGAGGATAACACAACTACAGCACCAACCACGACGACTACGAGCAGCGAAGAGTACTGCTAAAGATCGCGCGCCGTGTCAGCGTGTGGTGTTCTCGGCTCTCTTCGTTTCGACGAAGGGGTGTTGTAAGTCTATGCAGTTCGGCAAGATCACCTGTTTCACCATGTAATGCAGGCTTCAAGTTGATGACAGTGAGCACTGGCTTCTGTCGCGGGTAAATATCAGTTCAAAACGATACATGAGAATCATAAGAATCGGATCTGTTACCCACAAGAACCTTGAAATGCAGCGCCTATCCGTGTTGCACCGTGTTCCACATGCTTCACCCCCACTCAAGCCCCATCAGGCTGAGTTGTAGTTGCAATAAACCCAACTCCGTCTCGCAACAGTTATGCTGCAATAAAGGCGCGGCTGAGCTTGCGCTCCAATCCAGAACTGCTGCCAGTGCTAGCACCGAGGAGATTCGGCAACGCACATGCCTTGCACAGCCACTGATGAGTCAAGTTCATCCTGGGTTTCTTCACAGGGACAACGTGCTCATGTAGTGGCTCCAGCTGTATTAAAGAAGCGGTCAAGCAAGGGTTGCACCGAGGTAAGTCTCAGTCGCTTCGCCTGCGGTAATGCTCCTGAAAAAAGTACGCCAGCATACCCTCCAAACAGTGTGAAGAACAAATCAGCAGCCTGAGCCTAAGATACCCAAATGCCAAGAACCATTTCAGGAGCACCCGTGAGATTCCAAAACCCTTTAGACCACAGTCGAAAATGTGCACCGGCGCGGAAGCGCCACGTTGCCTACCGTGCTCCGCCCCCTCAACAACATAGTCCGTGAACTTGTCTATAGTGTTAACACACTTGTCTTCTTTTTGCTGCTTCAACGTGCAAAGCCACAGGATAAACCAGTGTCGCAGGATCTCAGCCGAATCACAGCCCCGTCCAAAATTACTATGCTGCGGACAAGCCCCTATTGGAAGAACGAAAGCAGGTGAGCGGCTCCACTAGATGTCCGTGACAGCGACCGCCGTGGCTTCATGGACTGTGGCACGTGGCCGTAGCCCTCGGAAAACCCGGGACGTTGATCTTCGGATTTGCAGCAGGGTTCCCTTACTAGCTCCGTGATGCAGATCCCAAACAGAGGGTGCTCAATGGCGCTACACCCGTAAGAAGCAACAGGAGTCTCAGTCTCACATCCTCCTTCAAAGGGTTTGGGCTGGACTGGTCAGGCCTTTGGTACAGACTCCGGCCCGCCGCGTGCATGGGTGCCCGTGTAGGTTGTCTTGTCATCATGAAAGCGCACCTGGGCAATGCCAAGGCACCCTACAAGCAGGACGAACGAAGCCGCATAACATAACTGCATGAGTGGTCTTCTTGGTTATCAACCGGGGACTGACCAGTGAGTCCTACCGTCCTAGCGCTCGAACATGTTTTTGCAGCAGGACTTGTGCATTCGCCTGCAAGCTGCTAGACCCGAGAGTGTCAACAACCCACTTGTAGCATCCGTCCATCCACCCTTTCATCTCTCAAAACATAAACAAGCGAATAAACAACTAAACAAACATGTAGTTCTGCAATGTGCATGTGTGCATATATGTGTGTATATAAATACAAATATAGATATAAATAGAGATAAATATAGATAAATAAATAAATTTATATATATATATATATATATATATATACATATATATGTCTATATATATATTATACACACATAGTATGTAGGGAGAAGGGATATGTACACATAGACACGCACACATACAGAAGTTAAAACACACACACACACACACACATACACCCGCGCACTCCCAGGCACACACGACAGTGCACGAGCTCGTTCGGAACACTGCGGTTTGCAGCTACACGTAGTCTGCCAGAACACACCTCACACAAAAATCATGCAGTTGCCATCGAAGCACAGCCTCGGCCTTGGTACCTTCCAGGGCTGGACCCGCTCCATCGGCGACCCTTTGCATGACATCCTCCTGGAGGGGGCACAGAAGTAGTCCGATCGCAGAGTTAAGGGTAGCTTCCTTCGTACCGGTGTCTCGAGGCCCCCTCTGGCAGCTGCTCGTGTAAACTGCAGCTGTGCACGTGTCATGCGCCTGGCTGCATCCACGTCGCTCGGCGATGAGTCCGAGAGCCTGTCGGAGTGCAGGGAATACAACAGTTCAACACGAAATATTCAATCAGCGGCAACAGCCACCTTCTCAAACTCGGTTATGGTGATGCGGCGCTGTCCCTCTCGGCAAGCCAGCATGGTTCAGGGCCCTTCCAAGACAACTCTGATGAGAAGTCGAGCACCTTCGGGACCACTTTTGCGAAGATCAAGTCGGCATCCGTCGAGCTGAAGATCCGATCCTCTCAGCTCGGGCAACGTATTTTCGTTCGTATCATGACGCTGATCTCAGGAGGTACGGCAGATGCAAACATAATGAGGCCCGGGCGACCAGGCTACAGTCTTTGCAAAGCTTCGTAAAGCTCCTTCGAGCGGTGGATGGCACTTCTATGGACTTATGTGCAGCTCACTCTCAGTCCTGCCGTCTATCTCGCCGGAAGAGGAAGCCGAATAGCTGGAGAAGATCGGCGCAATGTCAGCCAGTTCTGCCATCTTAGGCCTTGGCATCTCTCGTTGTCTATGTCTTGAACCCAGACCCGGAAGGAGAAATGCACCCTGAGCTTCGGGACCTCGACTTTGCCGCAGAGGGTTGCTGCTCAGCAGCCAACTAAATCTATGGATGCTCGCGGCTTCAACCAACAAACTGCGGAAGGATACAAGACAAGCAGAAGGCTGAAATACATCGAGCACCGACTGACTGTGCGACTCGCATCGCTCGTCTCACCCCCAGCACGGGAAGTGCAACTCAACTCGTATGATCTGTTTTCGAGTTCCTAGAAACGATGAAGCGATTGCTAAGCACAGGCTTGCGATTCTGGAACATGCAAGCACAGAAACTAAAGCTAAGTGTGACGAGGCGCTCGCTGTCGGCGCACTGGCCGGTCAAAATACAGGGATTCTCCTCACGCCTCTCCAAGGAGGCGCGGCTCGCCCTCTGTGGCCTGCAGTGTCATCCCCCCGTGCATGACTCTCTGAAGGGAGCCTCCCCAAGGGCAGTCAGATCTTTCAGGGCCGTCTTCAGGACAGGGCGGCGTGACCCCACGCTCCGACTCGTCACCAGCTGATCTGCCAGGTGCGAGCAGTCAGTTCAAGCAGCCCGAAATATGCTCGCACTCGGCCGTTCAAACAAGTGCGGATTCCTGCTTCGGGGCGGTCGACATGCATGCATGCGATGCGCCTGTAGCTCCAGCAAGTTCTCCAAAACAGTCAGGGGCCAAAGTATCCAGTCCAGAGGGAAGGGCAGCAGCGCAAAGAAGTGCGTTAACTGCCAGCGAAGTGCAGAGCGAAAGAAATCGCGAAGAGGGATTTCTTATTGACTTCTGCGGGAATGTGCACACTTCAATGGGCATCACTAGCCCATGCGAGCCTGGAAGTAGAAGCCGATCATGGCCAGTGGGTATCCGATCGCTTCGTCCAGGTAGGACTCTTCTGCGTTGAAAGGCCTCGAGAACTCCAGAGCAGGTCCCAGGCAAGGAGAAGGCTGAGCAGGTCTGAGCAGCGGGCTTCTTCACCTTTAGGGTGGCAAAGTGACTCGGAGATAATCCCACTCAACAGGATCCCTCGATGAGGGCTCGGCAAAAGGCAAGGAGTCCGTCCATCCCCACTTCTGGCAAATCTTTACCACTGCCTCACACTGACGTGCATATCTTTGTGTGGTCCGCTCTGCTCGTCCGCAGTACCCACCCCTTTCGACCTCACCGAACAGCTGGCCCCCTCGAAGCCCGGAGTAAAAGGCAGCCCTGTCAAACGGCTCAGCGCGGGAAATTACAGGAGCATACTACACAAAAGCGCAGATGGCAATGGTAGGTCGATAGAAGCAGTTCTTTTTGACTGCAGCTCCACCCCAGGCTGTCCAGCATCTCCCTCACTGGGCATCAACTCGTCTGCCAGCTCCTGCATGAGCAGCTGCAGCACTTCGTCCGTGATGGTGTCGACTGTGTCTCCGCCGGTAGCCCCACTCGACGCTTCCGGAGTAGACTGCTGAGCCGCCCTTCTCCTTGCCTGCCTTGCCTCGTGCTGCTCGAGAACGGCCTCTGCCGTCACTTGGTTCAGCAACTCTTCCGTAACGGCATCTGCCTGCAGCCGTCATTTAAAGGTTCGCCTGGTCCTGAGCCTTCAGCGAATTTCCCCGTATGGTCTTGCTGGGCTACAGGGACCCGAAACCTAAGAGAAGTTTCTGCGTGTTTCCCACGACTGACCTCTCAGCATTGGCCTGTTGCGGGCATGCGTACGAAGTGTTGAATTGTACATTAGCTAGAAGATGATTTAGACTGATGTTGCATCGCCACCACTTAGCGTCGGGCTGGGATGGGCAAAAAGTTTCGTTCATGCAGCGCGAAAAGGCTCTTCGAGGTCAAAACATCGGTTCGAGCTGTTGAGTCAACTGTTTCCTTCGCACTGATGTCGGAATCTGCATGCGTTTGCATTTTTCAACTGCCCGTTCCGTGGACATGACGCCTGCCTGTCGAGCCAAGCGCAGCTTCTGCTCCTCCTTGGCAGTCACCTCTTGGGCTAAGCGCTGCTCCTCCTGCTTCCGGGCTTCTTCCGCTGCCAGGCGCTCCTCTTCAGCTTGTTTAGCTGCGGCTTCCTTGGCTGCGGTTAGGCGCTGCTCCTCTTCGTTCGCTGCTGCTTCTTTGGCAGCCACCTCTTGGGCTAAGCGCTGCTCCTCCTTCTTCCGATCTGCCTCTCCTGCCACGCGCTCCTGTTCAGCTTGCTCAGCCGCGGCTTCCCTGGTTGCGGCCAGTCGCTGCTCCTCTTCCTTCTCCGCTGCCTCCTTGGCAGCCACCTCTTGGGCTAAGCGCTGCTCCTCCTTCTTCCGGTTTGCCTCCGCTGCCACGCGCTCCTGTTCAGCTAGCTCAGCTGCGGCTTCCTTGGCTGCGGCCAGGCGCTGCTCCTCTTCGTTCTCCGCTGCTTCCTTGGCAGCCACCTCTTGGGCTAAGCGCTGCTCCTCCTTCTTCCGACCTTCTTCCGCTGCCATGCGCTCGTGTTCGGCTTGCTCAGCTGCGGCTTCCCTGGTTGCGGCCAGTCGCTGCTCCTCTTCCTTCTCCGCTGCTTCTTTGGCAGTCACCTCTTGGGCTAAGCGATGCTCCTCCTTCTTCCGACCTTCTTCCGCTGCCACGCGCTCCTGTTCGGCTTGCTCAGCTGCGGCTTCCCTGGTTGCGGCCAGTCGCTGCTCCTCTTCCTTCTCCGCTGCTTCTTTGGCAGCCACTTCTTGCGCTAAGCGCTGCTCCTCCTTCTTCCGCTCTGCCTCCGCTGCCATGCGCTCCTGTTCAGCTTGCTCAGCCGCGGCTTCCATGCGCTGCTCCTCTTCCTTCTCCGCTGCTTCTTTGGCAGCCACCTCTTGGGCTAAGCGCTGCTCCTCCTTCTTGCGGTCTGCCTCCGCTGCCACGCGCTCCTGTTCAGCTAGCTCAGCTGCGGCTTCCTTGGCTGCGGCCAGGCGCTGCTCCTCTTCGTTCTCTGCTGCTTCTTTGGCAGCAACCTCTTGTGCTAAGCGCTGCTCCTCCTTCTTCCGACCTTCTTCCGCTGCCACGCGCTCCTGTTCGGCTTGCTCAGCTGCGGCTTCCTTGGCTGCGGCCAGGCGCTGCTCCTCTTCCATCTCCGCTGCCTCCTTGGCAGCCACCTCTTGGGCTAAGCGCTGCTCCTCCTTCTTCCGACCTTCTTCCGCTGCCACGCGCTCCTGTTCGGCTTGCTCAGCTGCGGCTTCCCTGGTTGCGGCCAGTCGCTGCTCCTCTTCCTTCTCCGCTGCTTCTTTGGCAGTCACCTCTTGGGCTAAGCGATGCTCCTCCTTCTTCCGACCTTCTTCCGCTGCCACGCGCTCCTGTTCGGCTTGCTCAGCTGCGGCTTCCCTGGTTGCGGCCAGTCGCTGCTCCTCTTCCTTCTCCGCTGCTTCTTTGGCAGCCACCTCTTGGGCTAAGCGCTGCTCCTCCTTCTTCCGGGCTTCTTCCGCTGCCATGCGCTCCTCTTCAGCTCTTTTAGCTGCTGCGGCCAGGCGTTGATCCTCTGTCTTCCGAGCTTCTTCTGCGGCTCGCTCGTCTTCAGCTTGTTTTGCTGCAGCTTCCCTGGCTGCAGCCAGACGCTCCTCCTCCTTTTCCCGGTCTTTTGCTACCCTCCCCTCCTGGGCTCTTGTTGCAACTGCTTTGCCCCCTTCTTCCTTAGTGATGGCCTCCTTGCCCGTCTCCTCTGCTTGCATCGGAAGCCTTTGCACAAGCGCCTGTAATGTTTGGAGAAGCTCCTGCGGCATTTGCATCTCGACCGCCTCAGGGGGTTTCCTCAACTCCACGTGCAACCGTCGCACTTCGGCCTTCAGGTCAGCGACTTCGGCTTGTTCCTGCCGGCGTGCCTCGTGCAATTGCTTCATTTCTTCGTCCCTCCTTTCCCTCTCCTTCTCCTCGCTAGAGCTCGATTGTGACTCGGCCGGTCGGAACCGCTGAAGCAGCTGGTCTAGGACGTGATGCAGGTCAAGTTGCTGTGGCTCCGCGGCTTGTTCTCTGTGGCTCAGCTCAACTCGCAGAACGGCCATCTGTTCCTTCAGCTCCGACACTTCTTTCTGGTGTTCCAGAGCATCAGCCTGCCGTTGAATCTCAGCTGCTCTGTGAACTTCCTCTGCTTCCTTGCGAGCAGACTCCCGAGCAGAGTCGAACATCAGGCGCTGTTCATCCTCTAGCCGCTTAGTTTCAAGCAGGCCATGTTGGATCTCACCATGCTGTCGCTGTAGGTCTGCTTCTTGCATGGCACCCTGCCAGGCCAGCCTGTTCTCCTGCAATCTGGCACCCTCTTCGAGCAATCGCTCCCTCTCCCGCTGAATAGCTTCACGCTGCAGGTCATTCACATGCCTTTCCTGGTTTGCTTCATCTCTTTCCTTCTCCAGCAGAGTCCATTGGCGAACCATCTCCTCTTGGTCCTTCCGGGACACTCGGAACACAGGCAACACACCGGACGGTTTGGTTCGTGGGCCTGTTAGCTCCGTGATGCTGCCTAAGTTGGGTCGATTAGCCTGTTATTCATGCCCCTCGGCCTGGTTCGACAGCTTGCGGAACCTGCGAGCCTTCGAACTTAGCCTCAGCTCCTCCCCACTCCCAACCCATTACGCCGCTTGGTCCTCGTAATTCCGCTGAAGGCTCAGTGCGAAGAGAAGTGCCTTCTGCTTCTCGAGCTCCTCTCTCTCGCGCTGCAGGGTCTCCCTCTCAAAGGCGTCTGCCTCCTGCAGGTCGCTCTGTGGCCAAATCCAAGTGCCGGGAAATGGACTGAACGGAAAAAGCCAAATATGCATGCATAGATATATGTGTTTATACATAAAACATGCATTTATGTGTTTATAGATATACTATATTATATTGCATTATTTTTATTATAATCCATTCTTTTCTATTATGTTATATTAGACTATGTAAAAAATATATACATATGTATATATATATATATATATATATATATATATATATATGTAAACATACATGTGTACATAAAAATGTATAATAACGGATCATCACGGCCTGGCGCAGCTTTTCCTTGGCTGCCAATTCCTCGTCGAAGGCTGCTCTCCGCCGAGCGAGCTCGAGCTCGGAAGACCTCGAAGGCTTGAGCGTCTCACACATACAAGGTCTTTCATGTGCATGTTTAGTTTTCTCTGCCCCGACCCCTATACCCCTGCGAAGCTTGCTTGTGCTTCTGTCGCTGCAGGGGACCCAGCTCATTGCTTTCGAGGCACTGCGCCTGCTGCAAGAGCGCCGCTAATTGCTCAGTCCGCTGCTTTTCTAGCCAGTCAAGGGCCTGTCACGCAGGGCGCTTCAAGCTCTAACCGGGAACCTCCATGTTAGAAAGCGCGGCGTACTTAAGCCCTGTCGTGTCTACATGTACGACATACTGCAACACACCGCAACCCATCGAGCGAAAGCACAACACCCCGAAAGCGGGAAGAGTCGTTTTCGCTGCCAGAGCCTGTTGAAGATGCCGTTCCTGCGAAGCCTGCGCCTCAAGGAGAGCTTGCCGCTCCTCTCGCACAGACATGTCTGGCCAAGCGGCACCAGCATGCACATGACATGGCACTATTTCGAGTCGATTAATGAGGCGCGGCAGGTGCGATTGAATTCGAGGAAGGCGGATGTTGCAAGATGCGACAGTCCTCTTCAAGAGCCTTTTCCTCAGATGGCACATCAAAAACCAAACCATACCCAGGAAGCTATGGAGCCAAGTCGCCAGTGCGGATCTCTGCTCTTGCTGAAGCGCTCGCTGGGAGGCCAAGAGGTCAACAACAGAGAGGTGCTCTTGCACGCTGTCCAAGACCTGCAGGCTTCCATAGAACCGCTCCTCCAACTCCTTGGCCAATGGTCGTGGCGGCCGTGTTGAGGGAATGCCACTCTCGGTGGCTTCCAGGCGTGGCAGCGGACGATATGCGGGTAAAGGAGGAAGTTCTTGCGTGACGACAGAAGCTCGGGAGAGCGGAGATGCAACCGGCGCATCGGAGTCTGATGCAACCTCTTTCGGCTCTGTCTGCGCCTCTGCTTGTGGGTAGGCCAGTGAGCATCCATCCTCCTCACGCTCTCCGCAACCGCTCGGGCTCTGATCAGGGCTCCGCATTTCGTTGCGTGGCTCCGGAACACATCCCTCAGTGGCCGGACTGGGCGACATGACGAGTTGGTGATCTACGTTCTCATGCGGTGACTCGAACGGCCGTTCTTCGGGTGCAGCTTCCAGTGTATTCTGGGTAGCCGCTCTGGGCTCATCGAAACCTACCGTTTCCGCGGGTGACGTGGGGTCCTGCGCATCGTCATCCTGAGCTCTGTGTGAGCCTGGAGTGTCGAGCAGCTCACGGCTGTCATCCAAGATTAAAGCGCGTGGTTCGATCGTGCTTCCAGCTTTTCGGGTGGCCTTCCGCCGGAGTGCCTGTATGACCGACACATCATACAAGCCACACTGATGGTCAGGCACACGATGAGGTCTAAAGGCAAGGTCATGTCCAGGTCTATTTTGGGCAAGCTTTACCGAAACTGCCTTGTCGCGTCCGCATGCCGCAGGCGTCCGGCTGGATAAGCCATGCACCAGTGGAGCAGCGACGTGCATCTGTGTCTGCTCTGCTGATGATTCGGCATGCAGTGCCTCGACGCGAACCTGCCGAGAATGCGGCAACTGCATCTGCATCTGGTTGGATATGTTGCCGTCGACTCCAGCATCCTGACGAACGGGACACATCACTGTGGGGGGATTTTGACGGGGCGTCGCCGCCACGGTGCACTGGTGGTCTGCGGGGTCAGTCGTCTTGGTCCGAACATCCTGGCAATCTCTCGTGCCTTGCACAACAATTTCGCCCCACGAGTGATCTTCGAGCTGGATTTCTGAGGAATCCTCGCAGTTCCCGCGATCTGGAGAAACCTCCCACTGCCGAGTCAGTTCCATATCCTTCGGTCCGAAGCCAGAAGATTTTAGCTGCGACTTCTCGGCCTGATGACCGGAATCGTAAACGGCAGCAGTCTGGACAGAGGCGGACCGCTTGGACATCATTTCACGGCGGGCACGAGAGAGCGTGTGCTCGCGCAACTGCGCGGCCAAGTCTGCACGCTTTCCCTGTCTCCGTGCGGAGGCACTTGCTGAGGACAATGTTCTGCAGATCGTCTCTTGTGCTGGAATGCACAAACTCTCCGGCAGCTCTTGCTGCAGCTTGGGCGCTGGTGGCGCCAGCCCCAATTGTCTGCAGAGGCCGAGCATCTCCTCACGGATGGAACTCGCCAGCTTTACGGCCTCATTTGGTGTCGACTCAATCGGCTCGACTGCCAATGCCGATTTGACAGACAAACTCTGCTTGGTCGCTGCCTTTTGTTTGGTCGCTGACTCACGAAAGGTGTTTCCTGCCAGTTTCTGCTCGAAGATTCCTCTGGGATCCTCTTCGTCATCTTCCTCATCTTCATCTTCGTCGTCTTCGTCATCCTCATCTTCCTCCTTATCCTTCTGTCCCTGTGCAAACCTGTGCAGCGTGTCGCCACCTCTCCTGGCTGGCACCGCCTGCGGCTGCTTCCGCCTCGAGCTTTGGCTCTTAGGCTCCAGTGTGACCCCTTCAGACTTCGGTGGATGCTTCCACAAGCTCTTCTGGAAAATCCCTGCAGCGCTCCAGTGTGGCAAGGACTGCTTTCTGGCGCTTTTGCGCAGTGTCTGGCGCTGCACACGGAGCGTCTCTTGCCACGTGTCGATCCATGCTGGCATGCTCAACAAGGGTGAAACCTCTGCTACTGAAAACCATAGCTTTACGTGCGGATGATGGCTGACGCATTGCGTAAGTAACCGATCTGCTGTGCCAGAACAGTGCCAAAGCAGAAAAACGTTACCCGATGCTGCCATATGTAGTCCATATACATCTAAATGCTGAGGTGGAGACGCACAGTTATGTTTCTCTCAGGAAACAACATGGTATCAACTCACATGCACTTCGTGACCTCATGCATCTGCAAACACGTTTGGCACTTCGGTGACGGCCTCATCTTGGCGAAGATCCACACGATCAAGATCAGAACAGCCTGACCAGGCGCAGTCGACTCTAAAACACACACACACACACACACACACACACACACGCACACACACATACAACGGCATGGCACTGGCCTTCAGAACGCTGTCAATGATCACGTCTACCCACTTCACGAGATCAGGTCCCAAAGAATACCTCTGGGACAAATCATCGTAAACGAAGCAGTTGTTGCTAGCGGATGGACCCAACGATTTAAGCCGCATTTCCGCAACATCGTGGGTTTCATTGCAAACAAGATGCGCCAGGACGGGTGCTGTGTAGCGTGTTACCTGGCACAAGCCGCGCAGAACAGAAGCAGCAGGGACATGCAAGGAACTCAGCCACGAGCGGGATATTTCAACATCTCCGCAATTGCCAGCGCATATGCCGTGGTCTGCGCAAACTTCAAGCTCAACCTGACAGGCTTCATGAATCTGTTCCGATGTTCCAAAGGACGAAAACCTACTGTAACCTTCCAGCTTTGCGATCAAAGCACGTAGCGACAACCGCCAGCCACGCAGACCACAGATTGCCGACAGCGCTTTGGAGCCGCTTCGGGTCTTTGATGCCTCAGCAAGAACCCTATTCTAAAGCTCACAGTCCTGGGATCACAGGCTCACGTAGAACAGGCGCATGTCTTGGGCTTCAGACTCGTCAGAACCAGCTTGGACTTGTGCTCAACCAGTTCTTGACTGCTCATGGCCTCCACATCGCGAATCCCGTCCTCAGCGTACATGATACAGCTTGTGACATTGTGGGGGCAATGCACCTCTCAAGGGGGCCTTGTTCACATCCAGCTGCTCGTCTTTGTCATGTGCGGCAAGGACCTGACACCAATACACTGACTCTCAGTGTTTCGCTCTCGCAGTATACATTGCCAAGAAGGACAAGAAATCACCGGAAGGCAGTCATCAGTTGATCTGCTCATATCTGCTCCAAACATCTCCAATCTACATGGCACCAGCGATGTTGACAGCTACATGTTTGTCTCGACGCTGCAAGAAGCTTTACTTCAAAGTGTGCACAGTGCACAGTCGTACGCTGCCGCCGCGGACTTGGGCTTCAAAGGCCATGGCGCATTGCGCAGTTTTTCGATACTTCTTTTTTGCTCGGTCGCCATTGTACGAAGGATGTGTGTGCACAGCCTCCTGCATACACAGTCATTCGCCATTCCTGTTTTTGTCACACAAACACGCATTTGTTTCAACTACAGGCACATCGTTTCGCCTTGCACTGCTTTCGGGCGGGTGGCCCCATGGGGGACGAAGGCACACCGCAATCTCCACGGGGGCGCAGCCTGGAGCAGCGGCCCGGGCTTGCACGTGCAAGTGAACCAACCCCGACTGCAGCCACGGAATCTTGCGGCATTCCCTTGGTGCTGACAGAACAAAGGGGCGGACGGCTTGTAAGTTGCGGGGCCTGGTCAATGCGAGCCGAGTCAAAACGTTGCTGAGAAGAGGCTGGCCGCCGACAGCGCCAATCGTGGTACAACACGGGCGGGGAGGCACCAATGCTTGCATGGACACTACACTGCAAGTCTGTTATTATCTTTTATGGTTTTCTAGGCCGCGTGCATTTTTTTACCCTCGATCCTCTGAATGACCCGGGAACATCTTTATCTTTGTCCAGTCGTCGCATTATCGACGATTTTTCATGACCGGGCATGTGTGTTCCGGCTCGTTTATGTCTTTCCTTCGACTCCCTGATGTGCCTACCCTAACACGATCTAACACGGTCTCCTCCACCTGCACCGAGGAACCGCTCGTCGAACCGGCGTTCGGCGGATGTTTCTCAGCAGCTTTATGTGGCACCCAAGATCACATCCTACCGTAAGGCTTCCGCTGCCGGAGGCCCCGAGGACTCCCTTAACGACGATGACGATGAGGAGGTTTCGGCTGAGGACTTCATGCACGGAATCTATGATGCTGGTTTTGTGACAGCAAGCTTGCACGGCCCAGCAGTGTGTGCTGACGGCATGATCCATTGCCCATCGCCATTGATGCCACAATTGTGTTTTTTTGCACGCACCTTTTTAGACAATTCTTTTTCCCACGGACCTTTTTGCAAGCCTCCGGGCGCGGTCCCAGTGCAGCAGGCTACCGGAACCAACCAAAATCCAGAACCAACCAAACCCCCAACCTCCTAAGAACGAAGCGAAGCTCACCCCATGCGGGAGGTGAGAGGAGGCGCTTCGGACGAGTCGGCCAGGACATCACTCAAGAGAGGAGCCTCGCCATCGAGATTGGCTGTGTTGGAAATCGGAAGGGGTGCGACAAAGGCGGCGACACACGCTGCGCGCTGGGACGCGGCGGCACTGCGTGCTCGCGCCCGCGCGAGCAACCGAAGGAAGTCGGCAGCTTCGGCACTCCAGCGACCACCAACTTCAAGACCGAGGACAACCAGGCGACACCGACGGGCGTCGGCGAACTCAGGGTAGGTACGTTCTTTGGCCCTGCGCGACTCGGCCAAGGCCGCCCCAGCAGTGCTGCCGCGCCGGCGCCGGGGGGCACCAGCAGAAGTAAGTGGCGAGACGAGCGTAGTGTCAACAGCAAGCTGCGAGCCTCCCCACAACGGCAGCCCATTGGCGATCACCTCGATGCGGCGCTCATCATGCCTGGATGCCTGGAGGTTCAGGTCTCGAACTAGGACGTGTGTGGCGACTGCAGCACCGGCCTCACGGCAGACCCGAGCCGCTGCACGTTAGCGACGCGGTCATACGCGGTCCCAGTGCAGCAGGCCCAAACCCAAGGCGGCGTCCTAGGGCGGCAAGGCCGGGCGTGCAGGCACGGGAAGGTTCCTTCAAGGGCGCGGGGGCAGACAGCTGGCAAGGGGCGGGGTCTCTCGAAGCGAGTCGAGATCGCTGAGCAGCGGCTGGTCGCCGTCGACATTGGCAGTGCCGGCAAGGGAAAGGCCCGGCAGCGAGCGAGGAGGCGGACAAACTGGGCAGCCTCGGAGCTCCAGCGGCCTCCGACCTCGAGTGCAAGGACAACGAGCCGGCTTTGCGAGCGCACCAGCTCGGGGTAGGTGCGTTCGTTGGCCCGGCGGGCAAACCCAGGGTGGCGCCACGGTACCGTCGCTGGTGCCAGCGCGCAGCTCCACTGGCATCGAGTGGGGACACTAGGGTGGCGTCGACAGCGAGCTGTGCTCCGCCCCAAAGCGGGAGTCCAGTTGCGATGACTTCGATGCGGCGGCCATCGAGGCGCTCAGGGTGGATGTTGAGGTCGCGCACGAGGACATTGCTGGCGACCGCTGCCATCCTCGAGTGTTGTGGACAAGCTCGCCGGGGTCTGCTGGAGCGACGGGTGGGTGCCGGGGCAAGTCTCCGAATCCAGGCGGTTGAAAGCCAGTGTCGCGGAGAAGGCGGACCGCACCGGCAGGGGGGAGTGAGGGGGCAGATGCTGCGTCATCAAGCAAGCGAGCGATGGCATGGCAGGAGTCAGGCTCACGAAAGCGGAGTGCCCCGAGCGAGTCAGCCCAGGATGCAAAGTATGCCGCAGGCGTGTGCTCAGCGGCACTGCGTAGTCCAAGGCCACCATGGCGCAAACACAGGTTTGCGCGCGCGGCTGCGGACTGGGAAAAGGGGTCGGAGTCGGCGCCGTCAGCTTCGCCGAGAGCAACGTGGAGCAGCTGGGCAAGGCAGCACAGGATGTTGTGGTCGCGCAGCTCCACTGGTATCGAAAGGCGACGCTAGGGTGGTGTCCAAAGCGGCAATCCATTTGCGATGACGTCGATGCGGCGGTCATCGAGGCGCTGAGGGTGGATCACCTCAACGCACGAGCAACGGTAGCCCCGGCTTCGGGCAGCAGCTCTCTCGAGCGGGGGGGCTGCGGGAGCAAGCAGCGGGGTCAACGCGACGACAGCCGCGACAGGCTGCAGCGTCGAGCGGCAAAGGCAAGCGGAGCCCGCGGAGCAGCAAAGCACGGAAAACAGGCAAGTCCAAGGGAGAGAACCTTCGAGACAAAATCCCACACTGGGATTCGAGCAAGGCGAGGGAAGGAGGGTCAAGCATTGCGCGGAAGCGGCCGGCGATATCGTCGAAAGCACGGGAGGCGGGCCGCTGCCATCCTCGAAAGTGTCGACAGGCTCGTCGGAGTCTACTCGAGCAAAGGGGGGGGGGCTGGAAGCCAGTGTCGCGGAGAAGGCGGACCGCACCGGCAAGGGCGCTCAAACAGCGGGGGAGTGGTCAGGTCAGGTCAGGTCGCCTGAACGCCCGCAGGCGGCTCTTTAAGGGCACAGGGAAAACAATCCAACTATTTGCAAAACTACGTTGTCAATCGGTCTACCGCTCATTTTTGGAAGGAAGCATGAAAATCACATATTCATCGCGGAAGCTGCTCCAAAATCTCAGCGTTTCTTGCAATCTCTTTCCCGTCACCCCAGCCTTTCCAGCGCGCGAAGTTTTCCAACCCAGTGGCCCAAGAGCTCTTCGGTCTTTTAGGAACACGTGTGCCAACAGGACCCCATGCTAAAGCACGCTTCACCCAGCGTGTGTTTGGAAGATTGATAACACACACCGCCAGATTCCAGTGCTGCTTCAAGCAGTTTGTAGACCACGTGGGTCGATGTAGCCTCGCCCAAAAACCAAAAGCCCGCACATTCCAGTGATGCAAACACATCATGCCATGGATCGTCCCACCGGGTATCTGGTGGTGCACCAACAATCTGACGCAAATGTTTGCGGAAATGAACGTCCATTCGATGTAGGTCCGTTGAATAAATGGTCCGATGCCCAGCTGCAAAATCTGCAAAGCACGCGATCGGCGAAAGTTTATATCAAAGAACTTCAATCCGTAAAGAACGGAAAACATTCCTGTCACAAAGGATATGACGGTTTGCATGAAAGGCACGAGAGGCAGATTGCAAGTGAAAATCAACGTCGGCCGTTGTGTTTCCAGACCCTTCGTCGGACACCAAGCGTCCCAGCCAGCGATGCGCCACACCACTCGAAAGGATCTCAACAGTAAGTCCGCAAAGAATCGTCAACTGTGGTGGAGCTTGAGCTTCCGTCGTGATGATTTTTGTTTTGTTGAGGTTGAGAATGAGCCCAACGTCGCTGCAACATCGGACAAGCTCGTCTAAGATCCACACTGCATTCCGCGAAGATGCAGTGAAAACAAATACATCATCAGCAAAGCGAACGTCTAACAGCTTCACGGTCAAACGCCTTCGAAAAATCAATGCGAATTACCCAGAAAGGAATGTTGGCCGCCAATGTCTTGTCCAACATAATATTGGCTGTCAATAAATGCTCTTCGATGCGGCGTCCCTTCCTGAATCCATGTTGTTCCTCAGGTTGATTGGCATCTAAGACAGACTCAATCCCACCCAAGACCAAGCAAGCGAAGGTTTTGTACAGCAGCCGAACATTTGCAACAGGTCGCAATTTTTTTCACGCACCTTTTTACGGCAGCAGTGTACGAAACGTCCCGGTGTGACCTGCGTGCTACGACTACCTCTACCGGCACGGCCCAACGCAGTCAGCCTGAGGCCGTCAGCGCGCCTCAGCGAGGAGCTCGTGCAGCTCTGGCTCGGGCCCGCCCCCCCAGGTCACCGGCGGGAGGCAACTCAAGGAGAGAGGCGGCCAAGGCGCGCTGCGCGGCGACTGCGAGGACGCCACCAACGCGCGACCCAGGCAGTGATCGCGGTGGGTCGCAGCATGGTGGGGACGGCGACGGCCCGGTGCCGCGCCAAGAGGCGCAGGAAATGCGCAACTTCGGTGCAAAACCTGCCGCCAAC